ATAAATACAAAAAACGAACGGATGTTCTAAACATACGACGGATAGTGTACGAAGTATCGATGTTACATGGTACGAAACTACTCGGCAATGTGAGATATCGACATTATCATTGGAAAGGGACTGCACAAACATGCAATGAGGCTTTCCTCAGGAAGGTAAGATTTTGAATGTTAGTAGTTATATGAAATAAAATTTGTTTAACAAACTTTTATTCAACTTGTTTGCATTTGAATTTTATACTATATTTTAAATTTCCGTTAAACTTACTAGTCTAACAACTACATACAAGTACATATATACAACTCAAATTTGATGAATGAAATCGTGTTCAATTCTGAAAAATATATGTAACAAAAGTTTAATATTATGGTAACAATCAGCCAGACTAATAATGAAAGAATAAAGGTGACTAGACATTATAAACAATAATGCCACGCCATAGAGTGTAGACTGATTTGTTTCAATGAATACCTAATGAAATAACTACACGGTCGGTAAATATTTGCTTCTGAAGGTGTAAATACCTGTTTTCAATAAGTATTTTAGATATAATTATTTTACATTATATCGAAATAAACAAACAGCTTACGTCTATTATGCTACGGATCAATGAATTGACACAAACCGTTTCAATATTTTTAATTTCTGAAATATCTATCTCAGTAATATTTATTCATAAGTAGCAATAAATAACCTTTACAATAAAAGCTACTAAATAAAGAGTCGACTTCAAGGTAGCAACACATATGTACATTTTGGCCTTATTTTAGTTTCTTCTCCAAAGGAAACTGCAATTTCCTCTTTTGCTAATGAGGGCTTTTATTTTCTTTTCTCTATTCGGTATCTTTGCATTTTTTTGTTATTATTATTGTTTATTTGTACTTTTAATTAGTGTAAACAAATATAGCTAAATAATGAATGAATGATATATGATATACTTTCATTGCAGTAATTCTTATTGGAGATATTTTAAATAAAATTTCATAATGACGTGTTGAAATTTTCATGTCTTTATTGATTTAATTTTACGCAATATGCACAATATTCTAAAGTATTGATTTGTTTTCAAATTATTTATACTTTGTGTAAAGTCATAGAGATACAGACTTTGGTACTTCTGATTTTAAAAACGTAACAGTATTTGTTATATATAATAAAATATTATAAATAACAAATACTGTTACGTTTTTAAAATAGGAAAAATCAAATATAATACGACCACTTCATTAAATAAAATGACCTTATGAAATGTAGACCACAACTCTGTTCTAGGTAATTTCTAACTTAACTCATAAAAATACATGACTGAATTCTTTTTGCTTCAAATTATAGTAATTAAATTTCCTTAAACTTTATCGAGACCTTCGTCCTCAAAGGATCTGTACCTGGATAAATTGCGTACGTTCCGTGCATTCCTATGATTCCAACTGATTTACCTATTTAATTCAGGGATTACAGTTTCCAATTAAATTTTCATTTGTGGTTGTAGAATAAACCTTAAGGTGAAACGTGTCGGATTGATATTGACTTGGAGAAGTAATAGTAGTTTTTATTTCTTCCTTTAATTGCATCCTACAGTTAGAAATTTTAAGTAGTGTGAAAATATACAACAATATTATGTATACTTACTATCAGTTAGTCCGACAGCTTCGTTGCTAATGTGATTACGTAAAAATATAATTATCTATCTAGTACTATTTTATAATACTATATCAGTACTACTATTATCCTTGCTAACATTATAAACCAAAATATAAATTGTATCTCATACAAAACTATGAAATATATTTTCGTCGAGGAAAGTCTCGTACCTACTACAACCTATATTAAAATTTGATGTTAAGTACGTAATGAGAACCATTAAAAAATAGTGCCATAGTCCCATGTGCATAAATGACTAATATTTTCCAAATAAATGCTTCAAATGAAAATACAAACTCAGAAGTATTAATTCATGGTACATACGGGTGAGTATTGGCAATAATAATGAATATAACCATGACATTTTAATCTAATGGTTTCTTTCTGACCTTTCTACAGTAATCCAAAACGTTACAATGATAAACGACAAGTTTCCGTTTACAAAATTTCAGCTTAATGCTTTTTTACTGTACAAAGGTCTCACCCAACCTTTCTGGCTATGATGATTTGCAGAAATAAAGTGTTCCATGACTAACAGTTTTCATATCTGTACGGACGGATACATTAGCTACGGTGGCGTTAAATGATCCCAAAGCAAAAGTTTGTTTCAGCAACTATGATTGCCCGTTAACTAAGCGAAGTACTTATGTCTTAGTATTATATTTGTAACTGTGCTTTACTGAAGCAAGTTCTGAGGTGCTAAATACGATTATTATTAAATGAAATTTCATTTAATGCAACAGTTAGCAATTCGCTGCTTTGAAACTTTAATCTGTGTATAAATGTAGTGGACGGCATTATAATATTGAGTAATATAAGTGGATAAGTGACAGTATTTTATAATGTAGGTATGTAGTGCAAACAAATTAAGGGGTTGTATTATATAATATACAATAGAAGTGGAAAGAAAATTATTGATAAAAAAATAATATTAAGGTTATAAAAACGTACTTATAAAAACTTCCAGCTAACCATTATTGTTTGAAAACTATACATAAGTAAAAGGTACAGTTTGTATAAATTCATCTTCTACCTCTGTCTCAACTATTTCCAAAACAAAACCGTCAAGCAGCTTATTTTATAAGATGATTTTCGGTTGAAAGGTGCAATAAGACTCTCAAGTTTCTGCATGAATGCATATGAAGTTATTTTTATTCTACGATGGTGGCAAACAAGTATACGGCCTATCCAGTTGAAAATGGTTACCGTAACCTATAGCCGCTTGAAACACCAGGATGTTATGCCAGAAATAACGCGTTACCGACCCTTAAGATACCTTAATATATCTTGAAAAGCTACTATGATGTACTCGCTCAAGAGAAGTTAGTAGTTTCCAAATACCATATAATGGTACTTTTTAATAGACTATAGTGGATATTTGTCACTGGGTGGACCATCAGCTTGTTTACCATTCCAGCTACATAAAAAAATCCTTCATTCAAATTTAATGGAAAGATTTATGTCTCGTACTGAGTAACGTCTATAACGAAAATGCTGTTCACTTTTTAAACATTATATATGTATTTCAATAATAAAGACGACGGATACCTATGTTTTTCATTTTACACTTGTGAAAGGCGGAAGCGAGGGCGCAGCAACGGCGTCAAGGGCCATCAAGCCAAGTGCGCGCTACCGTGGTCCGCATGCGCCTCAAAGCAACTCTTTCCTTGTTACATTGTGTCTTGATCAAAAGCGCAAGAGACATAGACATATTACTTTTTATTTTATAGTATATTTTTATTTAGAAATTTAAGTATTCATAAGTTAGGTGCATACCTTTGATTATTTTTACTTAAGATGAAGCAGCCTAGTTCCTGTGGATTATTGGTTACCCTTTTATCGTGCTTATTTTATAACAAAATATATTAGACAGAAGTACATAATTTGAAACATATGTATTAATGTTATTATACATTTTTCCAAACTTCATAATCGTATTTATATACAGCAAGATTTATTTACCTACATATCACATTATTACTTTGTCATTTAACTGGTCATATAAAAAAAAAATTAAAAGCACTTGTTAGATTAAACATTATTTCTCTTAAATCTTGTATTATGAGAATAGACATAATTATGAAAATAAAATATGAATAAACGTCTATATTTAGATTTCCTTAAAAATCAAATTACAACATGAAATAAGGATTATTAAAATTATAGACCTTCCGTCCAATTCAGTAAATATATTCAGTTTACTCTGCTCTGCTACCGTAATCACATTCATAATAATTTAAAATATGGTAATTATTATTTATGTGATTACGGTAAATAACAATATTTTTAATAAATTCCACAAGAATTACGACCTCATTGTAAAAATACGAGGCTTTATTTTAGTGCATATAATACAGGAAGGTTTAAAATTTACTTCTGTCTTGATCTAATTATTTCGCCGTGAGAGATGTTTTTTATGAAAATATACTACTGTATATCCAATACTGTTCTTATTGTTGCTAATTTTAATAACAAAGATAAATTGCTTAATTAGTGAGCAGTTTCATGAAAACTTCCAAGTTAAATGACTTAATTTAACTTGTTATCTTTCAGGAAACTTTCTTGCAATTGATGTTGTTTTTGCTGCAGTTCTGCAACAGCGCATTCTATTATTACTTCTTGTGAAAGTATGTGCTAATTTATTTATTAACTTTCCAACTAGTCGTCGTACCAGTTGCCCCAGTTTCGCCTTCGTGCAGTATCTAATAATAATTGATAACCCTGGACAATTCACACAGCGCTATCTAGTCTCAAGCTAAACAGAGCTTGTGTTATGGGTACTAGACAACTGATAGAAGTACTTCAGTACAAGGTTTTATATATAATACACATAGAAATACACCCTGACCAATATAAACAATCACGGATACAAATGTTTGCATTGGGCGAAGAATGCAACCCGTGACCATCAACTCAACATGATACAAAAACACATTTAAAGTTAAATACATTTCTAGGCTCTCGTTTTGAATAAGAAATTTGCTCATGTACAATATTTTTTTACTGATAAGTAAACAGAGTAAAATAGGTATTATTTAGTAATCTATAATAGCCAAAATAAAAGATAATAGTTTATTTTTCTTTATTTCAATAAAAATCTTCGGAATTGACTTCAACCTTTTTACAAAAATATAACATTAGCGTAGGTAAATGTTCAAAGTAGATATGTTCAATTAATTATCTAAAATTGATCCAAGAAATATAAGCTCATATTAGTAATGAAATCGCTAAATAAATCACTATTTTATGTTATAATGAAAGTACAAATAATAATGTATTCATAAAGCATGATATGCTATGGATCTCTAGTGTATAAGAACTTTATTTCCAATTACTAAAGTTTATAAATTTGCCAATAGATATCGGATGATGATCGCATGTCGCTGACCACTGCGGTGTCCGACGAAGAGGATCCTGGTGAGAGCGCGATGAACTCTCCATACAAGGGCAAACAGACCGGCGCTGCAGCGGCATCATTCAACTGCACTGGGGCAGTCAGAAAAGCTGGGTCAGTACCTTTCTTTTTACCAAATACAATTTTATAAGTATTTATAATGGTAGCATAAAGTATTCAATAAGATCGAACAAGTTAACAAGGTATTTTCACACCTGAAAAGTTAAAAACACAGCCATTTACGAATTACATCAGGAATCAATCCGACGTAGTACGAAATGTAATAATTCCAATATTAAATTACCACAATTATTTTCAAGAGAAGCAAGATTGATAAATAAAGAAAAACATTAGCTTTAAATCCCCCGAACTACAGGACACAATTAATCCTATAAAATATTCTCCGCTGCCATTCCGACGAAATAAAATGAAATTGCATCTATTTTCTTACTTCCCAATGACAGTGGGTTTAATTATATTGGTTATCTAATATTTCAAACTTAGCGTGACAGATCTTATCAAATACGCAGTGCCATAATGAATACTTTATAATTTCATTTATATATAACTTTTTAGCTTCCTTCTCGTAAAGTGATATACATTTCCTTAAGAAATTAGCAGTACAATTGACTTAACGGGTCATATTGTAACTCGTAATATATAATAACCTTTAGGTAGTAATTACATGTTGATATCAAAGCAAAGTTTAGAATTAACGGTAATAAATAATAAACTACTTAACAATTCTTTATTACTTAGATATTTTATACATCTACATACGAATTTCCACACTTCTGAGGTAGGTATGAAATAAATACCTGTGTTTCTGGAGTCAGTGTCCTCTTCAATGTGATAGTATTTGTGAATTAGTTATAAAATAATTAATTAATTAACACAGACTAAATAGTGTCAGGTATGCATTGAGTTCTCTAATACGTTTTCCAAACATGTAAATTATGGCACTAATCTCCCATGAGAAAATAATATGTACTGTTCAGTGTTTATTTAGGATGGAACGAATGGGCGAAAATTTGCTCGAATATTAATCGTGTCTTCTATTTGAGTTCTCTTGTTATTATTAGTTAATTATTCTAATCACTTAAGTAAAATGAACATTTCGTTTGGAGTTACAATAAAATGTATCACAACGTTTTATCCTCAGAATAATATTAGAGTGTAATGGAATAAATACGCATAGACCAAAGAAAAGAACAATTCAACCAATATATGATATATTGTTACCACCCAGCTGGGTGGTAACAATTATGTGGGTATTATTAGGTGGTAACAATATTACTATTCTAGTAGCTACTAGAATAGTAATATTCATAATAATAATAATTTAGGTAAATAAAACAGCGACATCATAAGTAGTGCTTGTACTATCGGTCTAAACAATAAACAAAAATACTTATGTATTATTATAAAACTGCTATCTTACTATCTATTTTCCGGTCTTTTCCACCCAAGTTTGCATTGCATTGATGTTAAAGTGTATTTCATATGATGTTGATTCAGTTGAAAATACAAAAAGCATTCGATATTTTTGATGTTGTAAATTGAATTTAAGTTATTTTATTAACGTTAAATCTATTCAAGAAATTCCTCAGAGACTACTAATTTTTATTTATACAGAGAATTTGTGATTGCGCCGTGTAATTACGCCGCTCCGAAATATTAATTTTTCTCGTTTTAACTCTAAGGAACAAAAGGGAATACGAGAATGACTGTGACCCTTCAATTTGATTGCAAAGCGGGATTAGCAATATCTTAATAAAATATTACTGATATTTTATTAGTCTTATTTATACAGTGTTACCAATGTTGTATAGTGTATATACACACATTATATTCTGATAAATTTTAATTATTTTGTAATTAAGTGAATAGTTTATTATATTGTATACTGCTTTATATAACAATCCTTTTTATATCCACAGATTCTTGACTTTCATTCCAAATAAAAAACTAAATATAAATAAAAATTTTCATAAAATGATTAACCATATTAATGGGAATCAATAATGAAGTAATTCTGAACATGATATATAATTAATATCTTTGATTAGTTTAATCAATTTACGTATATTTTGAGTCCTCGCCTTCATGCGAACATACATATTATTATACTGAATATTTGAATCGTTAATTTTTAGATTCGTAGAAGAAATGACTATTTCAATTAAGAAATTACTACTATTAATGACTCTTCCGTTTATGAAATGTTATTTGTTTTTTATTTCATTAAGGATTTCTTAGACATTATAATTTCGAATAGAATATTATTTTTATGTATTGATAATAATAGTGTTATTGACTATTTTTGCTCAGTTTCATAGATAAAGTAAAACAATAAATACGCCTTTTTATTGTAAATGTTTTTCTGAAACACCTTCTCCTGTCTACTTAAATCCACCCTTCGCTTTTACAACGAGTTTGAATGGGTCATGGCTAAGATTTCCCTCCGGTCATTTGGGATTCATGGAAGAAAAATTGTAGCCTCAAGGAACATAAAGGACGCCGTAGGCTTTTTCTAACAGAAACTCGTCAGACTTATACGACATCCTTTTATTCGTTCAGTTCTATTTTTCTTACATTTATTTCAAACTACTTGTATCCGCGACTTTGTTCGGTTGTATTCTAAACATACAAAATATTATAAATTTCTCCGGTAAGAAGAAATGATATAAATTCCTTCCAAAAATGTATTATATAATTCATTACTTCAACGTTAAATTGAAAGCGACAAGTATATTTTGTTTCATAAAAGAAAGTAGCAATATTCAGAAAATTTACTTGGGAATGAAACGGAAATAATTTCTCTATAGATATTATATTAAGAATAAATAAATACATTTGAACTTATAACGTCAGTCTTTTAGCAGTCTGAGATAAATTGTAAGTGTATGGAACAACAAAGAACGTTATATATATATACATTTAGTATTAAAATTAGGTCACAACAAATTAATAACAGTATTAAAAGTTTTTAGTTACATAAATGCTTAATGAATTTGAACGTACGCCGCTCCCTCCAGGTAATTAATTTTCTATACTAAATTCATTTTGAGTTAAAATCAGCAAAGCGGTGAATTGTAAGGCTAGCACTTAACTTTTATTCAATCATTTCTAATTCCCGAGTCTTTTAAGTCATTTTATAAGCCCACCCTTCTTATACGCCGTCATTCTCATGTATGATAAATGACTTTCCCGCTTCATTTCGCATGAAGCAAACAGAATAGGTATATAGCTGTTTGTTGTGTGGTAGGTATATCACTAAATTCACAAATAAGGATGTTATTCATGTCATACGACTTAATATATTTGTTTAGTGCCCATGCTTGAGTAAAAACAAATGTAAAGAGAGCTTAATTTGTAATTTCAGTATTACAATGAATTTAATTACAAATTTCAGTAATTATTTAATAAAAGCCTTTAGTCATAGATTATGTACCTTGACTATGTATGTATAAACTGTTATCGTCCAATTGTAAAATACAAATGTATGTATAATTACGATCTCACTTCCAAAATTTGTTTTGTGTTTTAGATTCCATTTCATTACGAGATACAAAACATTGTTACTTGTTTACAAACATACTAATTACAAAAATGCTATTATTCTACGCGAGACTTTTTTAAAGTTATATTAATATATAATCTATAACTAACAAACACATATGTAGAAAAAAAATAACAATATATATCCAAATTTATTAAATATGCTTATTTTATGCCAAATTTATTATTATGCTATTCTTTTAAGAAACAAATCCACGACTATATCTTTAAATAATATGTAATATTATAAATTAAGGATTCTCGGTTTATATTATATAATGTTTTATCCATGGTTAGAATATATTTAGTATATATATCTTTAGTATATACTAAAGATATTCATTTTATTAGGAGTTATTTTTTCTAGAGATCTCTCTCTACACACTAAACCATACATTTACGATATGTGGAACCGTACATGCCTTGAAAGTCGATAAAAGATAAAATTCTGGGTTCCTGAAAGTACTTTTTGCTTTCTACAATTTTAAAATGTCAACTCTAACTATGCCTGACATTTTAAATAACAGGAAATTTCTTTCTATTTTTAGTATTCTATGAAGTAATATAAATTATTATAGCTTAAGCTCTTAAGTTTGCACTATATTTTGGTATCTTTGAACAAGTAAATACCTATATCCAAACCAAAAAATGATTTTTTCCTCTAAATTGTATCCGACAAGTATATTTTTTATTCGCTGTAAATAAAAATGTTAACATCCTAGAATGTTTTTATTTGTAACGATGATTTTGAATTTTTTAATTAATAAATGAATTAATGTTCAAAATCAAATTCAAGTTTTCTAAATATTTGAATAATGAATTATTCATTTATTAATTAAAAAAACAAAATATTTTACTATCAAGTAATGACTCCCCGCCCGAACTACATAGGTATAATATATTTATATAATATGAAACTTTAAATCAATAACATCCTATATCTTAATATTATGATTTAATAAGCTAAATTAATATACAGTAAAATGTAACATTATTGTGATACAAACGATCCGTACAAATGACGCAATGTAGCATATGAGATATAGAGACGCATTTTAAATCCTAAATATATTTTTTATTCGTTGCCAATTCTAGCCACTTTTTCTTAATAAGTATTTCGTTCGTAACAGTTTCCTAAGCGTGAAGAAATGGCTACTACGCAAGAAGCATCAAATTGAACTGGCCCGGAAAAGGGGCTGGAAGGGATATTGGGTTTGCTTGAAAGGCACCACGCTCCTATTCTACCCGTGCGATTCAAGGGAGGGACGCTCGGTAGAAGCAGCTCCTAAACATCTTATCATTGTTGATGGTGCTATCATGCAACCTATACCAGAACACCCTAAACGTGACTACATATTCTGCCTTAGTACAGCATTTGGGGATGCTTACCTATTTCAAGCACCATGTCAGGTAAGTTATGTTTATTTTAAACTTTTAGTTTAGCTGTGAGTGTAATAGAGTTCCTTGTTAAATTATACAACTTAACCTTGAAACACCAACTTACTGATTAACGTAATTAATACGTAAGGTAAATATATTGCATTCCTTACTTTATTACTGTGACATTAAGTAAAAATAAACTGTTTTCCATTCTTCAAATTAAGTATTTAATATAATTTCATATCAACGTAATAACATTACAATGATCAGAAGTAGCAGTTTTCTACTTAGATATTCACTGACTAAGATACTTACTAAGATATTTAATTATTTATAATATTTTAGTTACATCTCAATCTACAGTTTATAAATGAGTTGATGTATAATAAAGGTACTCTATTAAAATATAATTAAAAATCACAGGTGGAACTCGAAAATTGGGTAAATAGTATACACAGTGCATGCGCTGCAGCTTTTGCTCGCCATCGCGGCAAGACAGGAACTCTCCACCTACTGCAAGAAGAAATTTATCGACTTGAAAAAGCTATTGAATCCGTAAGTATATTATAGTATATGTAACCTTCGACTATCACACTACGTCCCACTACATCAGTCCTAAGCTAGCCAAGGCTTGGGTTAACTGTAATAGGCAACTAAAAAAAATACTTAAATGTATATTTGTATATATGCATAATATACATATAAAAATAGATAAACACTCATACTCATAAAAACTAAAATATTTGCATCATTGGAAATATGGCGGTGTGCTAAACTCCTAGACCACCGAGATGTCATATATACATATATATATTTCATTATTACTTATCTCAGCAGTATAATAAAGCAGTTAACAACTTTTCAAAGCACAAACCTAGTGCAGAAATTAAAATATGCTGAAATAGCGTACCTTGTAAAATACCGCTTGACCTGCATCGGCCTGAACTAACACAGAACCATTGTTCAACTGCCACGAGGCTCATAAAAACGTTCATAAACCGATCTTTAGCTGGTGTGCAATTTTAATATACTGGTAGATATGACAACTTCAAATATACTGTCGCTTCTCATTGTACGCTGTCAACTGTCTACATTACAATGTAGGGAAGTGAACATATTTTCTGAATATTACGAATACATAATATACTCTAACAGTTATTGCTTATAGCAGGTTACTTTATTGCAATCTACGACTTGATCCTCATAAAATAACTTATAATCGACCCATTCAAATGCTGATAGTTAGACGCAGACTATGTCTATATTCTACATCTCAAACACTACCAGTAAAACAAATTTTATGACATTAAGCCGTTACGGTGCCAAGCGCTATGAAATAAATTCAACAGACACGCAAATCGTTATTTAGTGATTTGTTCAATATAATAGTATAATAAGCAGTTTATATTCATTGTAGAGCTTGAATCATTATTTTTACCAGACAAATACCAAACAGTTAGGTATTAAACAATCTGTTATGTCTGTAACATAACAGTTTATTAACTGTTATGTTATTATATCAACATAATTTTCAATCTAGTTTCATACTCACCATGTCTACTCTTGAATGTTTATTACATTCTCTTGAATTCGCTAACCGACGACATAAGTTTCGAATATATTAATATTATAAAAGGAGGTTTATTATTACCAGCTGAAGAGAATGTTCCGCGTGTTATAAACAAATATTGTTATCTCAAGATTGACTTCCCAAGTCTTTGCAGTAGAATATGATTAAACAAATTATAGAAGTAGGTACAATTTATTTTTGTACATACATATTTAAATAAATAGCACGCACATATACGCACATGTAACACTAATAGTAACCTGGAATAACTCTGTGGTGACTACACACTTTCATTTTCATTTATTTATTTACGAATTTCGATTTTAATTTCCGACAAATTTCATTTTAACTTACCTTAGAACCATTCCGGTAAATATAATATTGTAGATAGGTTATTATATCCTACACAGCAGCGCTTACAATGAACGCCACTCCACGTCTTGTAGATGATCTACATGAGCATCGGGTAGTTATTGGATTATTATGGTATCAACAATACATATAGTAATTAATAATAATTATAATTATTATATTAACGTGCATTCTAAATAAGTTTAATGATATATAAAAGGCATTTTAAGATTGAAGTATTCAATCTAATATTTCGATACTAGGAGTAATCATTATCGACTAACTGTTCGCATTTACAATAGTACTATTGCTGAGTATAATATAATATGCAACATGTTCGAGGACGATGCCGGCATACGCTGTGTGTGCGGTTTACAATGATCCTCGTGTAAATCGCGCTAAATTCTGACCCGCACCGGGTGACCGCATACACATCAAAGCCTGTGGTTATCTCACTACATACACTCTTATTGCATATGACATGTACACAGAGTGTAGATATTCATATGTAAAGTAAATTACAGTAGCAATTTTCATAAAATGAATTACATTTTCTTTCTTGCTTTACAAGATAATATACATTGAAAAATTCACTAATAATTTTGAAAATGGAAGCGGAAGCTTGCATAATCTACATATTTTGCTTCAGTTATGAAATATTCATATGAATTTTATCCATAATACAGGGTCCCAAAGTATGAAACAATCCATTTTATCGTTGCGATAGTTATCACAGGCAGGTATGCGCTTATTAATATTCATGGCATACGTCGACTTCGATATTGAGTTCCTAGATTGGATACACTGCAGAAAATATGTAACATACACGTGATACTTGGAAAATTTTACTTTACTTTATAAAACTGCTCCATTCAGAAACATAGTAGATGTACATAAATATAATAATATTATATATTCACGACTCGATCAGTATGCGGAAGTGAGAGGCAGTGTCATACGTCAACGTCGTGATGAACATGCTCACATTTCACTAGATTTACACGACAGGAGGCGAACCTACCACCGTCATTCTGATTGGTTGCTATTGGTGTTTCTATCATCATGTATTAAATAAAACGTCCAATTTTCAACGATTTATTACTCCATAACAAAATCGGAACAAATGGATGCATTTTATTCGAAACAAAAGCTATATCTTCTGAACATTAAGAAGAAGTCTTATATACGCGTCACTACAATATATTTTTTACTGGGAAAATATAATATAATTATATAGGATTAGAAAATTCAATAGAATTAAAAATAATGATTTAATATTATGGTAACAGGTCTATTGAACAACAGCCTTTACTAAGAATTATCTCTGTAATACTAATATACTAAATTGTGAAATTTTTACTTCGCTGCCTTTACATTTAGATCATGAAAAGAAGTAGCAGAGTGAGGTTTTCTCGAGAGACTACAGCAAGGGGTTTTTCAAGAGGGGTATATTAAGGTTTCTTAAGGGTCGGCAACGCGTATGTGACACCCCTGGTGTTTCAGGCGTCCATAGGGTACGGTAACCGTTTACCATCAGATGGGCCGTATGCTTGTTTGCCACCTAAGTGAAATAAAAAAAAAAGATGCAGTAGGCCTTATTTAATGGTGTATTATTTATATAATTAAGTATACATATACATATGAATTCTGCGAGTTTATCTTATTTTTTTCTCATTTATCGTAGGATCATAAATTGAAACAAATGGCGGATTTGCAACAATCAGTGGTGTCTGATCCTGAGACTCGCGCACAGCTTGTAGTCCAAATGTTGCAATGGGAGGAAAACTTGGAGCGATTGCACTGTGAACAGTTCCGTCTGCGCTGCTACATGGCTAGTTTACAGTCCGGTGAACTGCCTAATCCGAAGGTAATTAGTCTGTCTGATATAACTGCAACACACAATTACAATATAAATTATTTCAACTGTTAACCTGTGTTATACAATTAATAATAGTTAATAGTTATTCGAACTATTCATTATAATTCACCGTAGTATTAAAGTAAGACAAAAATATAGTAAGTCTGATTTCTTAAATGTACAATACATATCTCAATTATCAAAATAGATAACGAGTTGTAGACAAAATTAATACAATTTGTAAAATATGTAACAGATTTTGATAGGAACAATATCAATTGATAAATCTCAAATAATTCTATTATAAAAATTTTCAATTTTCAAATAATTTCAAGTAAAGACTTTAATAATAGTGATTATTGAAAACAATAACAAGTTTTAATGTATATTATATGATAAAGGACGAAAACACGTTCGTACATATGTTGTCGAATGATTTCGCAGTGATGACGACGAAAGGAAATTTGTTGGAACCGCTATCAAATTGACGGTTCCGCAGACCGGGAGCACGGGGTTGGAATCTGTTACTCCACACGACCCATGTCAAAGCACGTCATAAATAGCTTTCCAACACAAATAATAAAATTGCTTACAATACGCGCAAAAATGGACTTGATTAACGGATATATCAATATCCTTTGCCGGATGACTTGTACTTATCTACTGTGCACGCGATTTTATATAGAAATTATATTGATGGAATATTGTCATAAATAAATATTTCTTAACAAATTTTAAAAATCTGTCGCCGCGTCGATCTGCGAATTATTAATATCCCGGTTAATAATAATGTAAATTAAAAAATATTTTAAATATTAAGATTATTGAAATACTGTTCCAAATTCTAAAAGTATATTTCTTTACAGTCACTGCTGACCCACGTTTCTCGGGGTACGAAGAGTACATTGAATAAACTGGGCGTGTTCACGGTGTCATCATTCCATGCGTTCATATGCGCCCGGTCACCGTCGCTGCTCAACAATCTACTCGCAGGCCGAGGTGCTACAAAGCGGAGAGCACCAAACCTCTCAAGATCTAATTCCGGCTCTAGTCGACGTTCCATGCAGGTATGATCTATATATTCAATACATTGTACGGATTTTTTATAATATTATTTAATTTCAATGTATTATATATTAGTGAGATTATCCTAGATGGGTTAGTCAAAGACTTTGCCAATTGTAGACACTTGACATACCAAAATTTCAATAGGTATGTATTTTTTAGGTATATTTGTTATCGATGTTGTAGCCAGATAGTCATTCAGAAACAATTTAACGGAAGAAAAAGCGTTAGATTCGAGCTCACTACTTTGGTAACAAATTACGGTAAACCTATTTGCCACACCGCTCAATTAATATACATAATTAACTTTTTACAGTTGGTAAACCTAGGTACAGTAGGTATTCTTATGTTAATAACATAAGAATGCTTTGATAGATATTAATTATAATATTATATAATTTAGTTAATATTTTTTTACGAGAACTAACGACTCTGTTTATCTAGCTATTGCACACAAAATAATTTATAAGAATTTAATTACATATCCCATTTATTTTAGGTGTATTACAATAATAATATTAATACAAAAATATATAATATAATATTTTATACAAAAAACTTTGTAATATGTTCTATATAATATATTTAACATTACGTATACATAATATTTGCCTCCCTATATTTGGTATAGTAACGTTTAACCGTCTGTTACCAGTGTCTCCGTTACTATTTTGAGGTAAAAATAACAAACTCCGTCGTTATGGCACAATACATGCCAAATTTAATTTGGATCCGTTCTGTCTGACGTTTAGACCATTTATAATATGTAGAAAGGTGTTAATAGAGACATAGACTATAAACTACATACGATTACATGATAAATATCATAAAAGAAAAATAAAAAATGTCGGCCAATACTTCAAACTCACATCGCGAATATAAAATCTGTGAAACGTCATTTTCTCAATATCCGCTCGTATTACCTTTTGCTCCGCATTACCCTATTTCCGTAACCTCATTTGGTACGAGACATAAATGTTACTTTCACTCCAGAAATTGTTACTCGGTAAAAGCCATATTTTTCTCAGTTTACGTCACGTACGTCAATCATAATATAAAACGGTATCTATATACGATATCACTATATTTATGAATAGCAAATGTTACGTCAGGTAATGAACGTTGCCTACTGGCATACGTAGTACTGATTAAATAACAAACTAATTCACTGATGTTAGCTTTCAGACATGAATAACTTCATTACTTAATTGATTATATTAAAATAGGCCTCGTCCCTTTCTCGAAAAGTTTGTTGAGATTATATAATGGTATCTGTATAAATGTAGTTATCAAATAGAATCCTAAATATAAATAAACTGTAGGTAATAGATATATATATATATATGACATATAACAATAATAACTATAACTTTCACTAAAAAATATGCTTACAATACTCAACATATTCCTGTGAGTTTAAATACTCCAGTTCGATTTAGTTCTCTTTAGGAAAATCCATATCCTTAACCAGAAATAAAGAAAGCGAAAAGCAGAGCAGGAAACATTAATACAATTGAGGACATCGAAGGAAATTGTAAAATGATCCACCAGCTCGTAAAATAATACGAAATACGATATCAATGCAATAAAATCCCTCCTAAAGTTAACTTATTTATAAATAGTACCTACTTCCTTTACTAAAATAAAGAAATAATACTGCTGAAAAAATATAAAAACAACATAATTATTTTTCACAATTTGTCTTTGTTATTTGTGTTTAATTTGTGTTTGTCACAGTCTGCATATTCACAAAGCATATTTAGTGCGAATGTATCTCCGAATAATTTAGATAGATTATAATAGTCTTTGATTTATATATAGTACATACATACAACTAATAAATGATAAGCATCCACAGATTCACTTTGGTAGATCCTGTAATACTCATGCATTATTAAAATCACATGCGATAAAAATAGAACTCTACCCAGTCCGTATTTTTCTCGCTGTTGTTAAACTTCTTCCCTTTCTTTATTTAGATTCGTTTTTATTTGCTTCCTGATTTACGTAATCAAATCTTATAAGTTAAATTTGACCCAATTTCCGAGCTTCGATTGAAGTAAAAATTTACGCCTACCGTGAACCCCTAGCATGATCGAAAACCTCAAATGTGTAGCTGGATATAAATTATTGCAGACGCAATTCAGGTCTATTCTTCACCACTGTTTATGAGGGAGACCAAGGATTTTCAGCAATAATCTGTGACATTATTCACATGGCAATATTTTATTTAGGCGGTAAACAATGGATATGTATTATGTTATTATAATTATGTCATAAAGAAATTTGAATGGAACTATATAATAGAAACAGAAATTAAAATATTGTTCAGTTTAGCAAAAACTAGACCTTTTATTTTTTTAAATTGTCTTCGTAATTCAATTCGAAATGTCAATAATTCATATCCATGCATTTACTAAGTATTATCGCACTACCTCAGGCATCAAGATACGACTAAGATTGAACGACGACCTCAGAGGTCATTAAAATATTGTACCGAAAGAAATCCTTTATTATTAGAAATAACAATAACTGTATTGACAGATTTTTAAAAGCGTCTCTGAGACGGGAATAGTACCAAATGTAAATTAAAATAAACACCTTCTATTTTTATTGTGCAGATCAATAGAGTCTGTGTTTGAAATGATTTCTATGAAATAAATATTGTGTCTCACATTTAAGGAAAATCATGGAATTCATCATTCACAATTCATCATTTGTTACGTATCGATGTATGATGTACGATGATGTAACAAATGGATATGTACAATGGAAACCTTCCTCTTAAATCACTCTATCTATTAAAAAACCGCTTCAAAATCTGTTGCGTAGTTTTAAAGATTTAAGCATACATAGACATAGGGGCAGACAGCGACAGCGACTTTGTTTCATACATGTATAATGATACCTTGTGTATAGTCTTATATGTCGTTCAGTACAAAATATAACTACAACTATTTTCCTAAACACGTAAGTTATAATATTTATTTGAGTCCACTAATCTTTAAACTTAAGTAGCTTCTAAGTATTTGTGAATTATAAAATTTTTGTTGTTTGCATTTTCAATTAGTTTGAACAGTGTCGCAGGTAAGCTTTTCAAAAATTCCCAGTAAACAATTAATTTCTAAAAATAAAAGATTGTTTCCTTTGTGTTTCAATGTTTAATGAGGCACTTTTCCTCCAGGGCTGTTAAATTTTTCGATCCCCTATACATTATTCAAGAATACGGATATAGTGTACAGTCCAAGTGAAAGAATTTTATATGCTATTAGGCTTTTCTAGAAATATTACATGTTTTTTTTCTTTTTCCTACATGGTATTACTATGTTTCAAAGTTATTATATATCTCTTAGCTTTATATAATGAATTTTACAAAAAAACATGTAGATTTTCAGAGGGATCAAGAACTATAACATATATTAAAAGATATTAAAAGTTGACGCACATTACTTAAATTTTTTTTTTATAAATTAATAACTTAAACCAACTCTGTCATTAAGACTTTATATATTAAGTTAAAAATAATAGTTTTAGATATCAAGTATAAGGTGTAATTTTGCGTTATTAAATTACATTAAGTATCCGTAATATAAATTACAGAAGTGATACAACTACGATATGGTAAACGTAAGAAAAAGGTCGTACTGTCATAAATTAAGCTATGGAAAATAAATTAACGTATGAAATGCACTAATTACAGCTGTGTACAGAGTATACTATTTATTATGACGTAAAGTAAAATAAAGCCCCGGTGATACTGTATAAGGAAGAAACAAAATTCACTGCACTAAGGGAAAAAAACTTTCACAATGTTTACTGTTTACCTACTATAATATTCGTATCAATGTTTGTTTCTTTTGATGATTTTATTTGTAGCCATGGATTTGAATAAATTGTATCATAAGTACATACCGAGTTAACAACAACAGAAAAAGTACATTATACAACATGATTACAATAAATTATGCATTAAAATAAAGCTCGCGTAGACGCAGTCACGAGAAATGGTTCAAGACGTGGTGGATAGAAATACGCGTTCGAGTACAATTTCCTTTTGAATACTAATACAAATTTTATTCAAAGCGCGAACAATAACTTATATATAAAAATAATTCCTAATGTTCTTTTTGAGTTGAAGTTTAAAATAAAATGGATGATAATGCACCATAAATACAAACTTCAAATGGTTTTTTTAAATAACTTGCTTCTAATTTATAATTTCATATATATGTGAGAATTTAACATTTCTTATAAATCCAGACATTGGCTGAAATATACTTAGTTGTTTTTACTTTTTTGTTTTGACAACACACGCTATCTAGTCCCACGATAAGCAGAGCTCATGTTATAAGCACTAGATAACTGATATAAATACTTCGTTTCTTTTGTATATACTATACATACATAATATTTGTCATAGAAAACGCCCAGATCGATGCAAAGAATGATACTCATGAATACAAATGTTTGCACCGTGCGAAGAATCGAACCCGCAACCATCGAAAGTAAAGCGATGTGCTAAACCGCTAGACCACCGAGGCTGTTATGAATCTATTTGTTATGACATTTTGTGACTTTTGTACAGATGTCGCGTGAGGACGGCGAGGCTGCGGTGCGGGTATCATTGCCTGAAGGCACTACGGCTACGGTCGGGGTGCGAGAAGGCATGACCGTAGAGGAGTTCCTTGCAGCGGCCTGTGCTCGCCGCTCCCTAAACGCTCTTGAACACTTTGTGCGAGTCAAGAAACGACGGGACATGGAAGATCATAATTATTTCGTTCCACATCGCAGCGACCTCATAGAGACTTACGTGAGTAATACTATTTCAGAAATATAACATATTAGCTGACCCGCAAACGATCTATTATATAAAAAAATTATCGCTATTAAAAATAAGAATTGATGGTAGAAGGGTGACAATTAAGGGCTATGTGTATTTTAAATACCAAAACTTAAAAAAAATATCACTTTAGCACATAAAATATATTTTACGTCATATCCTCGGACTGAATATACGCATAAATTTCATAAGAATCGGTCAAGCCGTTTCGAAAAAGTTTTTTCTGGAGAACTCCACTGCCCCGTCAGATTTTTGTTTTTGTTGTGTAAATATACAAACAGGACGGTTTTCCGGCGTGTGAAGATGTGATGTAGAACTTAAGGAGTCAATTTAATATATATTGTCGAATTCGTCTTTTAACTTCGATATTCATCTGTAACATTCGTCCTTATAAGGTATAATAAGTACATATATATAAAGGTTATACCTAACATAAGAATAAGATACAAGAAGAATATTAATATTGTACTCCAGATTTTATCACCAATTACCAGTTTAATTAAGTACCTCAATTTTCTTAGTCTAGAGAAAATAAGCAACTGAACAAATCGAGTGAAGAGATCGTTAGGGTATTGTCATTGCTCTAAAAACAAGGGGAATAATTAAGTTAATTACTCTACGCCATCTACGACGAGAGCCCCGAGAGAGCGATTTATTTAAAAAAGCACCATACAATTTACATTTTCATGAGAAACCTGGAAACCAAGAGTCACGTTACTCTATTCCATTTGTAAAATTAAAATATCAGTATGACACAGGGCAAAACGTGGGCATATTTTTTAATTAAATCCTCCAAGCGCTACCACTGCGGAAGCAAGAGAATATAAAAGTATATATTAGGTATAAATGTTTTGGTACCGAAATTCTTGTGAGTAGGGTTTGACGGGGCGCGCCTGTATTGTGTTACCGTTCGTATACCATGTACAGTACCAGAAGAACTATATAGATTACACCTATTGACATCGACATGTGAACAGTGACGAAATTATCAAGTTTAAATGCAGTTGCTATTTTACTTCAATTTCTAACTCCCGACGAAATAGAAGTGTATAAATTTAACATTTCTAACTTCCATAGACCAATGTAGACTAACAGGACAAAGATAGTTTTGTTATAATTACGAAGATCTGTTAAGGCGTTTGAAGATTATCATACTACATAGTTAAAGTGTGATTATTATAACCTTTGTTGTCGGGTTTTTTTTTTATTTTAGTTTCATTGTACTTTTCATTAAACTATAATAATATAGATTGATGAATATTATGGTATAGATACATGAATAAAAATCACGCCGAGTACAAACTAACGCAATACAACAATAAATCAATGTATTTGTTGTTTTATTTCAAATTTCCTTTCCTAATTATTTTTTATCCCTTGGGGTCTACTTTGATTAAGGTCTGACAGGATGTGGATTAGGCGCCTTCTAACGTATCCTTCCTAAATCATCCTAAAAAAGTCAACTAACAATAGGTCTTTTACATTGAAAACATTTAACCACTCTGCAGTATCATTTTCTTTACTTACTTACTTGAATTGTTCCACTTAACTTCGTTAAATACTCGTATCACACTCAATGAAATAGATACTTAACTATTTAATTATGCCAATTATGATTTCCATATACGTTTACTGTATTAAATTTGATGTTATTCAATACTTGTATATTCGAACTCAATATCGGTTACTATAAAAGTATTTTATACATATATCAACATAATATTATATGAGTGTAATGTGTTAGGTACTAATCAGCCCCGTTATATTATTTTTCCTTCATTGGAACTACCATTCTCAACGGAATTACAATTCAAGTCATAACATCCTTTAATATCCTTCAGAACCCAATGGAACAAACGGTCTCTTAATTTCTTTTCTTTTATAGTAGGTATTGGTCGTCTTTATAGCCAATTAATTCTCATAAAAAAATACGTTTATTATTTAATTCTGTTAATTAGGTGCAGGTCTTTACGTGATCTTCTTTTTTCTTATTTAGTTACATACCCATGAAGTTGTAGAAGTGTGTGCCAAAATCTTATATCAAGTGGAGTTACAACGTACAACTCTTGAACAAATGTGGGGATTCAGCGTGGAAGCCGAGCTTATCGAAAATGCAGAGAGGCAAGATGAACTCTGCTGTTATGTGAGTCGAGTCGAAGATAAGAGCGTCGCTATGCAAAACGGTAAATTAATAAATAGAATATGTTTTACATTTTGATTATAATATTGTTAATATTTTTGTCATTGTTCAAATCATAACATAGGTCTCAACAACATTTTCTAGACAACATAGAAATAGTGACTTATTACTATTATTATATACTTATATATATATGTGTTTTAATGAAATAATTTAAATCTTAAAGACGTATTCGTAAAATAAATTTGTAGAACTTGCAATTATTATTTGCAGAACGTGCAATCTGATTTGATAAATGAATCTAATATATTTTTTCTCAGACAGAGAAAAATGACATGCGATTAATTTGTCTAAGTTTCGCTTCGCAAACTCTTGGCAAATTTGTTTTTAATTATATAAAATACCTACTTTAATTCTGTTTACTTTTTGTTTGTATCCAAACAGAGGGTAAATAATAAATACAATAAATAAATATACTTACGTAATACATTTTCTGAACATTGTTCCCTACGGAAGCGCAAGCCATTTCGAAACTTCTTGTTTAAATATCCATACCTCTGAGAGCCATGCGAAGCAAATTTCCAAATGGTTGCTCAACTTGGTTAACTTTGACGAATGAAATCATCATACCGAATCGCTGCACTCGCAGTAAGTCCTGAAATGCGGTAAATTATTAAACTATTCCCGGCTTTGCTATTTACCAGAAGTATCTAGATTTGTTCACAAATTTAAAGTAGTTAGAACTGAAATGGAATAAAAAAGTTCTTAATTTTCTACTAATAAAACGAACTTTTTACTTCCACTAACGTAATTTTCAGACAATAGACAAGAAATATCGCGTCTTACTCGTTCAACATTCTAAATCCTCGTTGTGACATTTATTTACAAAATCTCGGGTATTTGTCTTGACAATTGCCTTTATACGTACCAATATCTCATAGTACAAATTTAATCCTTATATAATGAGGTCTTTTTGAAGATTTATTTATATCCCGTATGGTTCAGATCAGATAATATTTTTTTATTCTACATCGAAATCCCGCGGCTATAATTTACTAATTTTGTAAAATAAAGCTTACAAAAGCTTTATCTATTCTATTTATTTTTTGATATTATTACATTATTCAATCAATCATAGTTGGTACTTACTTTTTTTATTTACATCATTCTTTTGTTAATCCCAAAAAAGTGTAAGAAATATTAATTACAATTACGATTTTTCCTGTGCCAGGCATAATCAAAGGCGACGAGATAATGGTGATCAACGGAGCGATCGTATCTGACCTAGATATGATGTACTTGGAAAGTGTGTTGCAAGAGGAACTCTCTCTCGTCATGATGATGAGGTATTTATTATAATCCACATGTCATTATGATAAAAATATTTCGAAGGTCGTTAATTTTACTATTATGAAAGTATGAATATTATTGTTCTTGAAATGTATTATTACATTTTCATTAATTTCATTCCATCTACAATCAATACTATATTTAGATTTCCAATATTAAATATTTATGTAAAATAACGCATAAATTGATTAAAAGTAATGTAGAGCTTATATTATTGTTTAATGTAATGAAAATATTTTATACAAAAAGTACTTAAGTATTTGAAACAACTTTTTCCGAAATTATAGCTTGATAGCTGCTTTGTTGTCTACCTAAAATTTATGGAAATATAATGGTTATGGGTAAATTTAAACGGCATTTCCTGGAACATTACTAAAGTCGGTAGTAATTTTGTTCGACCAGTGTACCGTTTATTTTATTTCCATGTTAATGAGAAATCGCTGATCGTCAACTGAGTTAACTGGTATTCATTAATTAAACGATCCGTCGTGGCGCATTCGTTACCATTGAATTAGAATAAATCTTGGTAAAAGGAGTGAAACTCTTTCAGTCTGCAACAGGATTTACCCTTCACAATATTTAAAGGGAAACAGGAAACCGAACGCCTAGCGCTTAATAAAGCGGAAGTTAAATTGTTTGTACTTCTGCTGGGTCGGTAGAAGACTTGTTCATCGACATTTGCCGCCCTTATTCACCTGACCTTTTGCGATCACGACAAGTTTACTGAAGCGCTTATTGCGACCTACATATACCTTCGACTTGCAATTCTTCATTACGGTGTAGCCAACGTAGCGCAGTTAATCATAATTTTAGGTGCTTTATTATGGTAATGAAATTATCCGTAATACTAAAACTAGGTATGCAACATATTTTTTTTTAAAAGCAAAGTCAATTTATTTTCATATATATGCATCTTTGATGGGTAAATTATGTCAAACCTACCAAATTCAAATTTATATAAATTTATATAATCTATATAGATTATTACTAGCTGTCCCCGCAAACGTTGATTTGCCATATAAATTAATAACGCTATAAAAAAATAGGGATAGAAATGTTTAAAATATAGGGTTATATGTATTATTTAATGACACAAAAAAAATTGCCCAATAAATAAAAAAAAATGTTACAATAAAAAAATAATATTACAACCCTTATCACTTAGGGATATGAAAAATAGATAGTAGCCGATTCTCAGACATACTGAATATGCATATAAAATTTCATAAAAATCGGTCAAGCTGTTTCATAGGAGTAGTCTAATATTATTATATTATTAATATTATTATTAACATTGTGACACGAGAATTTTATATATAAGATATATATATGTACTGCGCTGACTCTATCAAACTCTTTTACATATTAATAATGTATATATCTACTGTAACCATAGGTACTTATCATAAATGAAGCAAGTACTGTACAAGTTTTCATTTCTTTTAGAAAATATACAAGGAAAAGTGAAATACTGGCTTGTCAGTTATTATTCTGTCCTCGAATATAATCGTCGCAGACGGTAGGGCAGGTACGGCAGGTGACATAGTTTACTTGTTAGAAGTTGGCAGTACCGCCACACCCCGCCCCGAGTCCATTGTGACCGCTCGAAATTGAGCCTCTCGACGTCACCGCGCCGCGTAAATTAATGTTCCTCAACAAATGTCATCCCGAAATAAGCACTCGCGACACGATATTATTATTGTTGTAAGTTGTTTCATCTCTCTGTTCATATGATAAAGCCGTTCCGGTTGTAAGACGGTCGCTTTTATTGTCTCGTTGAACGTGGCGAAGTTTTCAGGAATAATTAAGGTGTTATTTGGCTAATATCTCGAGAGTTCGCCCCGCTTTGCGGACACGAACGATAACATCGTCAAATTTTATTCATAATACCCGACAGTTGAGACTGAAATTGTTGCTTGTTTGTTATAAATGTTTCTGTGTCCAGAACATATAGCAATGTAATAACTTTCTCGTATTTATAAAGGGTATAATTATATTATCTTGTATATCTATTTTTAGCAAATTTAATATGAGTATATTAAATCTGCAGAACATGGTATTTATTTTTATTCATTCATTCATAATTTAAGAGCTACGCTCTTGTCGGTGGAGCTCTTGCCACTTTCCGCGATCTTCCATCATGCTCTTTAATTCTTGATACGACACAACTCCCATTTTGTCCTCAATTTGTTTGATGTAGCTATTCCTTGGTCTTCCCCTCCCCCTCTTTCCTTCAATTTTCCCCTCAATAATAATTTTCATGAAATCCTCGTGCCATATCAAGTGTCCTAACATTTTTCCTCGTCTATTTTCTATTGTGTTCTATATATGCCTTGTTTCTTTTGCCCTGTGTAGTACTTCTTCGTTTCTTACTTTATCTTCCAGCTAATTCTTTCCATCCTTCTCCAACACCACATTTCAAAAGCCTCCAGTTTGTCTCTTTCCTTTTGATTTAATGTCCATGTCTCACACGCATACAAGGCTATACTCCAGATATAGGTTTTAACAAATCGTTTCCGTGAGTTCTTTGATATTTTAGCGCGTAAAAGGTATTTTTTGTTGTTAAATGCTTTTTTTGCCATGGCTATTCTTGTTATAATATCTGTGGTACATCTGGAGTCGCTGGTGATTAAACTGCCTAGATATTTGAATGTGTCTACCTGCTCGAACTGTGTCTTGTTATTTCTTGGATTATTTTTATTACGGGTCTTGACTTTTGTTTTGTCTTGACTTGATTATTTTTATATTGAATACTATATTATACATATACTTATTATATTAAGCTAAATCATATAAATGCTTATTAAGTCAATAGTGTTGTGATTGTGATGTACATTGATTTAATAATAATTTATATGATTTAGCTTAATATAATTAGTAAATACTGTGCCAAATAAAACTAAACCAACTTTAAATTTAGTTCACATTGTCATTATACAAATTATATAGTAGACTTATAAAATAGAGCTTTAGAATTGTTATATTATTTTTCTAAAAGACTCCATCTTTGTAACTAGATTTGTGAGTACATATACAACTAACTTCTCTCATCTTTATCCGTTTATCCATGATTGATCGCAATTGATATTTGCCAATTTCCTTTGTCATTGTACGTGTTAATTTCGTGGCTAATTTTCTGATGATTGGTAAATGCATGAAAGCGTAACAAACAATCTTTCTTTTCGACAACCTTTAGTTCCAATGGTTGCGGGATCGATTCCTTGCACGGCACAAATATTTGTATTCAAGAGATATGATTGTTAGTATCGGTCTAGATGTTTTCTATGTATATTATGTATCCATTTACAAAAAATATATGTCTAAGCATTTATATCAGTTGTCTAGTACTCATAACACAAGCTCTGCTTACCGTGAGACTAGATGGCGCTGTGTTAATTGTCCAGGATTATTGATTTATTCATTTGCATTTATAATACTAGTCAGAATGTAAATGCTATGGGAACAGGTCGTCTCGAACGGAACCACCGGAGCTGTCTGGTATGATGCGCGCAGCCACTGACGATATAATCGATTCGTTGGTGTGCCCGCCGCCGCCCAGCGAGCCGCCAGTCATCTCCGACGACATGATATCCGGACTTATTGTACCAGCACCGGCATGGAGTAAGTATAATAGTTTATGCTATCTTCATTGGAAAAACACTAACTGCGCACGGAAGCAGTATCGTTCTTTCTTAATAAATGAAGAAACGATTGTTATTACATACCTACTATACAATTTACCGTGTCTGATCGTTAGTCCAAAATTTTTTTCTAAACTATGCAACGAATAAGTACGCAATTTTACCTATAAATAGACTATATTTAAAAAATCCGGATGTACTTTATAACGAAATACATATAAATTAGTCGAAGTAAACAAAGACAAATTAGTCGTAGTTTTTCAAACCACTTAAACAGTGGAGACACTTCATTTGGTGATCGGTAGGTAATGTATGTCAATCTATTGTAACAATTGCAATCTCCACAATGTTATAATACTAAAATAAAAGTACTGAAATAAAAAAAATATACTATATCATAACCTATTTACAATCAATAACATTTCGCAACTGCAAAAATTATATCGCCTTGTAAGATTTATTGTAATATTTTTTTTATTTCAGTACTTTTATTTTAGTATTATATGTAACATTGTCCGAGATTGCAATCGTTACAATAGATAGATACACAGACATTTTCTTTTACGGTTCAATTCATAGCACTCACCCCATCGCGTGACGAACTTATATTTAGCTTGATTCGATTTCAACAAACCACGCAAAATCTGAACATCAACGTTGTGTATAGATAAAATTATGTTTATTTTCTACATACAATAGAACCACACCTTATTCTACATTGTATTGATTGATTATTTATATATAATATTTGAAAATTACATTTAGGGATTATACTAAATCATGCATTTAGAGGGTATGAAAATATTCAATATTCTTTTTTCATTCGGGTACGAAAATTGTAGAAAGGTCGTGTGGATAAAAACTGTATTTTTCACTTAAATTTCAATCATAATACATTTCAATCAAAGTTAAAATGAATTTTCTTTACCTAATACATAATTCCTCACTTAAATTGGAAAAAAAATATTTTTAAGCATTGCTTTTTCCTTGTTGTCTTTGTTATGTTTATAGGGTTTTAATTGACACTTTTATAATACTACCTATTCAAAAAAATCCGTGCAAACGAATCACCTGTAGTGTTTAATTTCGTCGATCATACTCGTATATGAAGTGACATAAAAGATAATTACGGCGACGTATCGACTCATGTTATTGTCATTTGTTTTATAAGAGTCGACACGAATATTGGAGCGAGGTTTTATGCCGCTCCCGAAGCAATGCGGAATTGTGGTGGCGCTCGGAACAATAGTACATATACCCACCTTCTCACACCCGCAAATGTTTTATACATTTATGATATTTTCACGTAACGAGACTGTGTTCCGTTCTACTAATGACACGTATTCAATATATAGGAAAAATTACATTTTACTTCCATTTCGTTCATTCTAACGCTTCTGAAAATATTGCAAGTATTTACAATTCAGATTTCAGAATAATCGTATGTAACATACATGTATTTTTTGTGTATCAGAAATCGTTGAGTATAAAATATATTTCTACATACTTTGAGTAGGTATATAGGTATATATTTATTTGAATTTATTAATTTTCACAATATTGAAATTTACGTTCTATAAACTTACTCAACATTCTATCAAAAATGTCGAATTAAAAAGCAGCAGTTAAGTAAAGTGTTGTTCTAATTTCGGAACAGAAATAACCGTCCTTCAAATAAAGGCCGTGACCCAACCTCGAGCTATTTGCTTGTGTCCCGTGTTGACTTACTACGGCCAAAAACTCATTGTGGAACATCTTATTATAAAACTGCTTCTGTATAAATGTTTCCAAGTTATTATATTTTTTAACGACATTGGTAGCTGCACTTCTTTTGACTGATACTTTTTGTTAAAATAAAGGCATAGTATTGAATATCTATACCATCAAATATTGAAGTAAAGTATAGTAAAATATATAATAGATATATTAGGTATATTGTAATAAGGTATATTTAGTAATATATTATAAGTATATTTATCAGTAGTGCACATTAAATGTTTAAATTCACTTTAAATTGAAACATATCTACGTCAATAAGCTATTTTGATACATATGTGTGCCACCACACATATGTATCAAAATAGTAATGAATAATGTTACCATACCAACAGATTTTCTTAGATGACTTCTCATATACATTGATAAAGACATTTACTGTCTAGTGGTCCTTCTCAATACTTTTGATAAGGACCACTAGAAAGTAAATGTAGGCTTTGAGATACTTGAGATTTCTTAGGAAACTTTATAATCAATTAAGTAGGTAAACTATATTATTTTTTTAGAAACTGTTCTATTGTTAAAGTTACTTACTAAGTACTACATATTTATAAAATTATATTTAATTAATAGCGTCGTAGCATACTTTACTACCCGACTTCAATCACAAAGTAGCCAATTTAAACCTGGCCGACAAAAAAGTCTTGTGTATCAAATGTATAAATTTACAACTGACTTAATATATCTCAGATGATGGAAATACCCATAACAAACCAAATTAAGACAGAGAAACGATAATAAGCTGGCACCCTGCCGTTTTGAATTTTGACATACTTCGCGATGTCATATATCGACAGTTGCCAACGTCTGTGCAACTATCCCGGGATAGTAGTAGTGAAACTTATTATTATATTTTTTTATCCAGGTAAAGAGCTATATAGCCCGGACGCAGATCCGCACGGCGGCAGCAGCGAAGCAGTCTCCAGTGGCCCCCCGAAAGTCAGTTCTCGAACCAATTCCTTTGAGATTGAGAATCTACTCAAGGTATTCCAAAAGAGTATACAAATTACATTACAATCCTCATCCGCACAGCTGTGACTTAATTCCGGATTCAATTATCCATTTTCCTAGGGCCGTTTCCATTTTATTTCGTTACGATACCCGCATGGTAATGTCTTTCTCGAAAATAATAACCGTCTCCCGAGAATCAAATGGGACACAATTTAAAGACGCCTCCTATTATATACCTATATTCACGTAGATTGTATCCACCGTTCTTTGAAAGTACGGTTACAAGAAACTGTCAAACCCTCCGCGTAAACCGCACTTTACCCTATTATGGTAATCGTTGAAATAGTTTAATAGATTTGAAATTAATTTTAAGACTTTCTTAATCTTATAAATGAATATATTTTAAATAATCCATATTATATACAATATATACTAATACAATATATTACTTATAATATTACTGAAATTTCGTATTTATATATATAATACTGTATAAATTATTAAATAATCATCTTTATAACATAAAAATTACGATTAAAAATTATTTGTAAATAAACACACTTTTTTTTATTTACATACAAATTTTATGTTGAATTGTTTGTCTACGATTTGGCTTCCTAATTGTATATTATAACACTCTTAATAACGGAATCAGTTACGTCTCTGGGGTAAAGTATAGAGAGAGATAACTGTACGTACTACATATAGAAACGACAACGTGGTTGTAATCAAAATAACATAGAATAGTAGTTTTGAACATTGTGGAAATTAAATAGAAATGTGGGGGTGTGCGTGTGCGGCAGAGCGCTGAGCAAGTGACGGGTTGGTGCCGGTCACCAGCAGAGACGCGGCGCGGCAGCCCCACCGGCAGCGTCGCCAGCGCCGCCGCCGGCACCCCCTCGCGACACCTATCCGACGCAGACAAGCTCAGGAAGGTGCTACTCGAGCTGGTCGACACCGAACGCGCCTACGTCAAGGTTCTTACTTATTTAAAACTAAGACTTATTTCAATGACACAAATTACACACAGAAAAATAAAATACAACTAGTATTTTATTTTTCTATGTGTAATTTGTGTCTGTACGTACTAAAATTAATTATAAGAAATCTGTAATACTAAAAAACTGGGCAAGCAAGCCTGATAATATATAAATTGTTATATCATCATTATATCAGTTCTCTAGTACCTATAACTCTGCTTACCGTGGGATTAGTTGGCTGTGTGTCGACTGTCGGTGTTAATTATTTATTTTATTTTTAGAAGTAGGTATTGTCAGAATTAATAATAGTATTATATTAGTCATTTTACGAGTTAGGTATTATGCCAGCAGTAGCATGTCACATTTTAGGCGTTGTACTCAATTTGATATACCAATTTAAACTTTATAGATACAGAAACTGCTGACATTCAAAATCACTCTTGGTACAGCCATACTAATGCTTACATGTATTTTAATATATTATCTAATACTTATTGGACCCTCCCATCACAAATTGTTTCCATATATAATGCATGTTTTGATTGACTTCTTGTTTCATATAAATATTCATTAAGCTAAAAAGTTCTGATGGATTTATAAAACGTACTTTAAACTTTATAAAATCAGTCGCAACTGCCGTCACACTCATATATTATACTTCATTATATATTCATATTAAATATATAGTTCTAAAAAATACCCAAGAGAATTCTTGTAATACAAGTACTTTAATAATATTAAAACTTACAGCACCTGAACAACTTACTTGAGAACTACCTAGAACCACTGAAAAAAGAAACTTTCTTGTCAAATGCCGAAATAAATGCACTTTTTGGAAATATTCAAGAAATTGTAACATTCCAAAGGCAGTTCCTACAAAACCTAGAAGAGGCTCTAGAGGCAGAACCAAACTTCCATCACTTCGAATTTTCAAATCAATTTAGAGTAAGTATTTTCTTACATTCCTACAATGAAAATGCAATGTTTACGAATATAACTAAAACTTATTTTGTTTTTTCATAGAATGTACTCTTCGCGGTTGGCAATGCTTTCCTGTTCTACGTGAATCATTTTAAATTGTACAGCTCATTTTGTGCTAGTCACAGTAAAGCACAGAAGGTTTTACATCCTAGTAAGTATAATAAATTCCATAATTTTTTTCAATACATTATAGAATATATTTCATTTATGAATTGATATCAGAAAATCACAAATATCTTTTTTACATTTAAATCTTACTGAATATGTATGTATTGAAAAGCAGCATACATGTACGTAGGCTGTTTCATTCACAGCTGTAAAATAACAATATTTATATATTAGCACTTATGACATATATTTGTACATAGTCAAGATACATTTTCCTCCAGATGAAGGCAATCAAGCTTTACAAGAGTTTCTGGCCGCTAGAAATCCTAAACAACAGCACTCGTCAACTTTAGAGTCATATCTAATAAAGCCTATACAACGGATATTGAAATATCCCTTACTATTGCAACAATTAAGAAATTTGACTGACGTTAATTCTGAGGAGCATCTACATTTAGTGGGTAAGTCTATGAACAAAATACTAGTTATTTGTATTCTAATGACAAATTCCTTAAATTATAATTATAATTTTTATTTCAAGATATAATATTAGAATAGCTATTAATATTGAAATGAATCTTTTAGAGGCTCTCAAAGGAATGGAAAAAGTTGCTGAACACATCAATGAAATGCAACGAATACATGAAGAATATGGTGCTATATTTGATCACTTGTTTAGACAACACCAAAAGTCTTGCAAGCAACCTATAGATCTAAGTCCTGGTAAAGAAATATAATATTAACGTACATAGTATTAATTTTAGCCATATTACTATGTAACTAAGCGTTCACTATTTATCTTTCAGGTGATTTGTTATACTACGGTGGTGTAGAATGGTTAAATATTTCAGACTTTTTAGGAAAAATAAAGAAAGGGCTAGAATTACACGCTATGTGTTTTGTATTTAAATCAGCTGTTGTCTTCCTATGTAAAGAAAGACTGAGACAGAAGAAAAAACTAATGGTGAGTGTTCTAAAAGCATACTTTACATTTATGTGTCCACACGCATTAGTTAAAAACTTCAGAAAGAGTAATTTTAATTATACGATCGTAAAAGTTTTTCTTAAAGGTATAATTATTATACTGTAACAAATCTTAACCAGAATCAAGACGGCCTGAAGTTGAAAGTTGAATTAAAGTACAAAAACTTTTAGGATAATATTTCAAACTTTTAGGGAGTGTCGTCAAAGAACAACTCAAACGAAGTGGAAATCATCAGGTACCAGGTACTAATACCTGTGACTGAAGTACAAGTACGCGCATCCTCAGCAAAGGATATGGACAGCCACTTTTTGTGGGAACTCATACATCTTAGAAGTCAACTTCAAAGACGATCTGAGAAAGTTTACGTTTTGTCTAATAGGTAAGTTTTTTACATACATATATAAAATACATTTTTATTAATTATGATAATAATTTATGCTATTATTCGATACGGTACCAACACAAATATTAGAGGAGGTAAAATTCCGAGCGTAACTGGTAGCACGTTTTAAGTAATTCATAAATTGCAAAATAATTTCAGTCAATTTTTTTTTAATGCAGTGGTGTAAATGGTCAACCTAAACAAGTTTACAATGTTACTAATTAACCAAACTGTCAAGTTTTCGGAACCTACTTATTAAAAATACAATTAAGATTTTTGTTTTATTTTGTTTTTTGATATTTAATATATGCAGTTAAAACCCTCAAGATTCGAATGAATGTGTTACTGTTTCCATTTAGGGAGGGCTTATATAATAATATTTAATATTTTTTTGTTCAATTCTATTGAAACGGAGTATAGATGTAGTCTACAGGCTATTCCCCAAGATTTCTGACTTCTTGTAAATTTTCTTAACATTATTTTTTAAATGAATTTTATGGTTTATATACTATATGCAGATTAGCATTGTTCTATGAACTCAAGGTTATACCAATTTCGTTGGTTAATAAAATGAACCTAATTCAATGCATATAGCATATACTTGAGTAAAATAAATCACTTTTTCAAAACGCAATTCTCTTATTACGTAGAAATTACAATATTAAGTGAAAAAGAAGTTTAATTATATAAAATAAATAACTGATTTAGCACGGCGGACTTCCGCAACGCGTTCCTGAAGACGATCCGTCAGATTATCCGCGAGTCGGTCCGCAATATGTCGCTGCCGAGTACGCGGCCGGCGCCCGCGCCGCCTCGCGCGCCGCACGCTCCGCACGCGTCGCACGGGCCCCACGGGCCCCAAACGCCCCACGCGACCCACACGCTCGACCGTGACCGCGACCGCCCCAAACATCAGGTATTTTATTTATCTATAAACTGTATTTGAGTTTTTATTCGTACTAAAATATCTACAATATTAAAAAGAAAGTACGAAGTATTACAATAATTACTACCAGATAATATAAACCTAACTATATATATAATACAATAGTACCTAACTTGCTCTCTCTGTATATGGAAGATGTATGTGAAAGACTATCACATCATACTTTATCTACATAAGAGAGAATTGGTTTCAAATAAAAAAGCTATGAAATGTCGTTGTTCCCACTCTTCTGAGTGTTCCTGATAAACCAGTAAATACTACAAATACAATTACTTTTTTCTTTACTTTAACTATTATCATAGTTATAACTTATCGAAATATGTCATTATTTATTTGTTTTTTATTGAAGGTTCAAGTAATGCAGGGATCCCAAACTCTTGGCAAAACGAAAAAACCAAAGATAACTGGGCAAAGATTGTCAGCTGGCAATATAGAGGTAAATTCAATTTATCTGTATTCAATATTATTTTACTTCATTTACATTAAAAACTGTGTTTAATTTAACTATTAAAATCTCTAGGTTGGTGATCTGTCACGAGAAAATTCTCAGGATACAGAAGATCCTCCTCAAGAAACAACTGACGAAGAACCAACTTTTAGACTTCGCAGCAAAACACTAGGCGATACTACAGGTAGGTAACAGATTTATTAAGAGATTTTCTCATTTTATTCACTAACACTTCTCAATCTGCCTTCGCATCATTAATACCTAATATTTTAATAGAGAAGTAGGTACTATTTATTTACTCTTTTCTTTTAAATATCAGTGTAACAAAGTTGTACCTACTACTTGTATATTTTTGTACCCATTAGTAAATCCTGAATTGTTATTGTTAAATCAACCTGCATGTAAATAATATTCGTAATAATTATACGCCAATAAAATCATATCTCAGTTTATGAACATTAACTTAATTTATGATATATATATATAAAGGAAATGGTATCATGATATCATTTTTCGACTGAAAAATCGACTGAGTTCAAATTGAAATATGATTTGACTATAAATTATTGATTTTATATATTACACATATATAAATTGAGACATGAATGTGTTTACACCTTAATACACTAACGCATGTTACGCAAGTCTAACACTAGCTTGTGGTTCCTCGGACCAGAGAGTAATGCAAAGCGCGCACCGCCGCCACCACCGCCCGACGCCGACAAGTCAGACCCAGGCTCCAAATCCGAGGGTGAAGATGAACAACCGCAGCCACCTGCCAAACGAGGGTTAGGCAGAACTCCCAACCACCTCACGCTAAGGTACCAACATATGTATGGGTTATCATCACAATCGACCACACTACCTACACAATCGTAAATTGGCACCAGTCTCCTCACACACTAATAAATTATACTAAACTAAAATTTATGTAATGTAGGTCTGTTCGGCTCTACTCATACATATGTCAATCCTGATATTCACGCCAACTTTGAATATAATGGTATGCTTATATATATAATACGTTCTATTCGCAGTACGACATCGACGCTGAGTGCTGGCAGTACTGGTAGTCAGGCGAGACTTATTCAATCATCACACCAACCAACTCAATATCAACCCACAATGGTTAAGGAATTAGGTAAGCAGGAATCTCAATCTCTTAAATCTTCACCTGAAAGAAAATGTTCGTCAGTATCTGATAAGAAAATCAAAGTGATACGTTCCTGTAGCGGTAGCAGCATTAACAGAGATAAATCTCCAAATAGATATGGAGATCATGTATCGCCTGACAGGGATCGCGTCACCAAAGTTATTGTTTGCAAATCACCCAATAAATCAAGTCTGAAACAAACCAAAACTCTTTACCGCTCGCCAAGAGGCAGTTTTGATCAATCGAAATCTCCTCGAGGTTCTATCGATAAGTCTCGCTCACCACAACAAAGCTTTGATGGATCTAGATCGCCTCGTGGAAGTATCATGAAGTCCCGCGAGAATAGTATAGATAGATCAAGATCACCAAAACCGGCTCCTAAAAAGGGGATAATGCGAACGCCCCAAGCAAGTTTTGATAGATCACCATCTAAGTCTCCAAACATAAGTCGTCGATCATCAAAATGTAGTGGGGAAAAATTAGCTCGACTTGGGACTAATTCCTTGGACCGAATGACACATTATTCCCAGTTAGCAAAAGCAGAAGATAAAGCTATAAAAATGGGTATTGTGGTCTCTAAATCTACAGAATCTATCGCTAAAACTATTGAACATCCCACTTGTGTTCAGTGCTACCTGTCTGGTAAAAAGCAGAGCAAAACCTCCTAGCATAAGGGGAAGGGCAAGTCCCCCAAATTTCGTAGAAAGTCTCTGGCTTCAGTCAATCATTCACAACAAATTCTTACATCATCGGATCGTAGCAGTTTGGAAACTTTGGATGATCCATATGAACGTGGACGTTTCATTCCATCACGAAACTATGAAGATAGTTTATTTGATCAAATTCATGTCTAAACATAAAAGTACCTAATAATATGTATTACAATTAAACCACAAAATAGACGATCGCATAAATAGCATTCGTATTATCTTCATTTTCATGCAAATGCTGATATTTGTGTGGTAGCGTGTTCATCAGGTTATTAATTACGGTATAATATTGTTTTAATGGGTGTTGGTATTATACAATTTAACTAACTCACCCTACAAAGGAATTGAGTAGTTAACAATTTAAAAATATATTTCTCATACTTATAAAATATAAATTATAAGACGTAAAGTTGCTCTAAGCAAGAATCGTTTCAATGCAGTAATATTTATCAACGTAACGTCTACCTTTACAGACGTTATAAGTTAATTATATAAAAACTTACATAGATGACATCACCAAATTACGAATTACCATTTGGTTCCAAAAGATTCTTATCTAACTTGAAAATTTTTGATAAGAAAATTCGAACCATTCGAATTAAACTATTGCTGTCAAAAATATATAAAAAGTAGGTATAATGAGTACCCGACATAAAATGGATATATTGAAAATTTGAAATATACAATAGATAGACGGTAGTATGATAGTATTTTAGTGACCTACACCGTTGATATTAGTATAAATATAAATGCTTTCGTGGTTTGATTGCAAGAGTTTTATATATGATATGATATTATATAATGTCCTACACTTCTTAGAAAGAGACACGCTTATTTTTATAACCCAAAATAACTTGACATCAATAAACTTGGAAAGTTTTGATTATAATTTAATCAATATCAGTAGTGGCACTTCAATTATCTATGTATAGCTAGACTTAGATTATGCACAAACAAACCAAAAAACCCCTATAGATAAAATGAAAAAACCTCAGTGAGTAGTTATAGGCCCCACGTAATAATATCTACTAACACACGTATCTATAGATTTATAAAAAACGAAATTAAACGTTCACCAAACATTCAACTATTTGTTCACGAAATATGTAAATTTATATGTAGGGCACGAAAATAAACCACAAGAAACTATAGCCTAATTCAATGTTGGTTAGCAGTGAAAGTTTATTTTCTTATACTTTTGTGGAAGATTCTTTCACAAAACTATAAGAAAGTAAATCCACTTATGGTCATGAAAAAAAAAAGTAACTTTTTGTTATTTTCTTATGTGTAATCTATGCGAAATTTTTGTTGAAACAAATTACCATCTTTTAATCTATTTACATAATCTACCTGAAGTCTACCTGATTCAAAGAGTGAGTTCTTATGAAGTCTAGTTCAATATTTGTATACGTAACGTTGTCAATATTATTTCCACCAATTTTAGAAATTAGGAAGAAATTCCGATTAACGCGTACTAAAGTTATACATAAGTTAATTGCATTACTAAACTATTACTGTAATAAAATATAATATAATTACTAAGGATGTATTAAAATACAATTTTATCGCATATTAGATAGATACATTATTCTTAACCAAACTCAAATTTTAGGCGTAGGTAATGTTAAGTTGTTATATAATAATGGCTGTGGAATCGTACTGATGATAATCCTTAATCTCTTTGGTCATAATGTCTCTCTTAATAATTTTCATTCGACTATATTATATTGTATCCCGTTAGATATTAATATAATTATTATTACGTAGACGACCATGGATTTGTAGTATGTAACCATTAATTAAGTCTTCCATTTCGAAATACCTGTAATTAATATTAATTAATTTACTCTCGCATTATTTATGTACCTGCTCAACTTAGATTTAAGTTCGATCTGTTTACTGTATTTTGCAATTACGTTACTATTGTATCTACTCACGTATGTATTATATAATATAGTTTCTACAAATCGATACGCAGTCGGTGGCACTAAAACTAAACATTATGATTCACATTGATCTACGCTACAGGTACTAGTACACTCACCATAGATGAACTGCGAGCATGTCCGAAAAATGTTTGTATACTAAAAAGCGACCGAATCTATAAATAATTCAAATGTTACTTTATTAGAACTATTTTTACACTAATCAAATGTTTAGTTTTCGTCATAAACTGACTAATTACTTATAAATAAAATACTCTATATTAGCGTTAGGTATTGACTGGTTTATTATTAATAGGAATCAATTAATTTGTTAATTATAATTTATGTAAACTATCGTTCAAAAATATGGTTGATATAAACGCATACAGGTATGCCCGGAAGAAAACATGCTCACAGTACAATTAAAATTATGTAGACACAAAACAACTATTGTGAAGAAAGTATAATGTTGTAATAACATTAATATTATTAAAATTAAAAATTACATATAAAAAAATAGTAGTCTCTATATGTATTGTGTGTACAATGTTAAATAGATGAATGTAATGTACGAGTACTGTATCCTGTAATAATAAATAGGTTAACCCAAAATACTCTAAAATATACATGATATCAATAAACTTATATCTCTTAAAACATTAAGTAGAAATATATATATGTTATTCTTCAATCACGTAGCGCTTCAATTAGCTATGCACCGATTCTCTATTGACTTAGATAATGCACACATGGACCGACAATTTGCCCAATGGTATTTAAAGATAGACAGAAAGAATATCATCGATTGACCTGCTTATCGACTGGCGCACGTTAGCTCTTAGAGTAATCATCTATACGTACATTAATCTATATAGAACACGAATAAAAATAAGAGTAGTTAGATAGTATATATATACGATATAAAAAACAATTGTAATTATTTACAATTTCACTATTATTTGAATGTTCGATGACAATGTTGACCGGCGTAGATCCGCGTATCCTCCACGACATATCCTTAACCTCCATACATCAAGCACCTTCCAACTATATACGGACGGGCGCCCGGCCCGTACGATTTCTACGAGGGCATGAAACCTACGATACATTCATCAAACATTCAACTCTTTGTTCGCGTAAGCGCGAAAAATTTGATGATCGGTAAAAGTTACATTCGAAATTTGCTCGGTGCACATGCGCCAACTGGCGATATAATTATTTATAAAGAGTTCGGTGTTTGGTGTGTTGTAGGATCGCCCGTGTGGAAACCGCGCGACATGTTGCCCGAGGCGGGCACGCCGGGCGCTCCGCCGGCGCCCACCACGCTGCCGCGCTCACAGCGGCCTGCGCCCCGCGCTCTTCACCTCTCCGCCAGCCGCAAGTCGCTCGCGCCGGACCACCGCCACTAACGCAGCTCTCGTCAATATTCCTCGCGCTCCGGTATTCTTACAGAGTGAGGGGCATGTTCCAATCCGCTCGAAATTGGCCGATAGCCTTCCTTCCCCGCCGCGCAGTCGTGCTGGTATCCGATTTTTCCCGGCTCGAGGACCTTTTACGATCGGATCTTGCCCCGTTTTTCGCTCGTATTTTCTCTTAATGTACATGAATGTACAAAATTATTATCATGGAATATTACCCCTTGAAGAGACGCTAGGGTATGCTAAAAGATAAGTGTTTACGAACCATTTCCTATGCTGTGCGCTTATCCTAATTCGGTACTACCCTGATCCCTTCTCCTACTGAAATTGATATGTCTGTGGAATAACTGCCGGTAATCGTTGTTTGTAACGTATGTACGATCCATATACGATTTTGGGTTTTCAGTAAAATTCAGATTCCAGTTGAGCCTATGAGAATGAATCCTAAGGGTAGATATAAGAATGTGTTAATTACAATGGCAATTCTCATAATTTTGCATTCACACACCGTATATATATATAGCTCATGATTGCACAATTTATTATAATATATACATAGCTTCAATTGAAAAATCTAACATATTCTAATTTCTAGTATATATAAATATGTATTTGTTTTTGTCTTAGCGTGGCTCAAACATCGTACTTATAATAAACATATGATTTTTTCCATAATTAAAAAGACTGCATATGTTTAATACGTATATTATGACTTTACATACCATGCACATAAAATTAAATTTAATATATATAATACTCACTAAACAATCAAATTCTAGTCACTGATTTATTACTATATGTAATTGTGCTGGTATTTAATGTTATATAATTTGCCCAATCAGCTAGTATATATCTATATATATATATAATCACAGACAGTTCGCTATTGAAAAAACTAAGTATATACAGTTCTTCAGAATTGAATTCCATAGTAGTTAAGTACAGGTGTATACATCTATTTGTATTTACATTAATTTTGATTCTTACATAGTACAAGATATAAAAGTAGGCTGTTATATGTAATTACAAATTAAAAGACAATATCACTAATAAATAAAATGTTAAAGATAAACAGAGGTTACAAAATTACTCACCAAATATCTTCATCTATTCTATTCTATGTGTAATAACTTAAAAAATATCAGTCTATATTGAAACGGTTTAAAATCGTACACATGAGTAACGTCATACTTAAATGTATTTGTAAATGAGTTGCCAAATGGATATTGAAACAAATATAGATAGATGAATACTGTAATGTAACACGTAATAAGACATATTTTATGTGTTATAGAATCGATTTTGTAACCACTTCTAATTTAAAAGACTATTTAATTCAACGCCTTCGAAGTGATTAATTATTTTAATATATTAAGTACAATTACGATCTCACGTGTCATAACAGGTATCTATGCCTCACTTCATACACGCACCTTAAAAAGAGTCACAATACTAATACCCACGTTTAGTTTCATTCTAAGATGTTTAAAAAATAGATTTAAAAAAGACTCATGTGACTAACCGATAGGATAATCTATAAATTAAGCCCCATAACATAATTAGAAATAACTTTACCGAATTTCCCATGTACAAGATATAAACATCATTTTGTAAATTCCGTTTACATTAAGTTTCCATAATTTACGCTAAATAAATGCTCCACTACCTCTGTGCCAAATTAGGTGTATACTCCTACACGTGTGCTTGTGAACATAACATTACTGAATAGATAAATTGTGGGAGTAGTTAGTTGTAATGTACTTACGTTTCATTTCACATCAGCAACTCAACACTCACTACCCTATAGTTCAAGATGCACTTACCCTATGAAAAATACACTAGGTAGTTTTGATAATAATTTCTCTTCGAGATCAAATTCGAAAGTTCTATCATAGGCTAGGCGAATGATATAACATTTATCCTACATTTTAGTTTTTTTTTATTTACCAGATGAGACTCATACCACTGGGTATAATAATTTTGTTGATGTTGTTATAAATGTGTTGTTTAAGATCATTGAAATTTTGTGAGTAGAACGGAAGTGTGTGTATCCCGTATGTATTTGTAATACAAAAGTTACGTAACTGTAAGGAAACAAAAGTTGTTTATAGAAAAATGATGTATATTTATTGTATTGTTAATGTATTATGTGAGCAGTAATATACATACTGAAAAGTTATAAATATTATTGATTTTATTAGTTGCAAGGGACCACAGTTCATTTTAAATCACAAAATAATATAAACTAACTCACTGTGTGTACTCTTCAGATGTTTAAATTTTATTCAGTCGATTGTTGCATAGATGTTATATTATATTAATAAAAGCTATTTAATTTCGGGACATATCACTGAAGTGCTATTCCGTTCAAGCTACAATTTTTCAAGTGTTCTCATAAACAATACTTTATCAACACTTGGTATTAATCTTTAATATATTTATATCTATGTTGTAATAATTCTATGTAGATTATGTACTAATTTATTATTGTGACCACAAATACACACAAGCATTATATATATATTTAATATATATATATATATATATATATGTACACATATGTGTATAATATGTTCGCGTAATAAATATATACATATGTCCTATATATTATAAATTGAATTTTAAGTATTGTTTATTAAATGATTTTGTGATTTATCGAAATAAAACCTGTTTATTAATATACATATGTTAAAATATTCGAATTTAATAATTACGAACTTATACACTCAATTTATAGATATTATTATAAGAAAATATAATTAATAAAATGAATAAACAAATATGAGTGAAAAATGATGATGAAGGATGAGCTCATTAATTGCGATTGTATTTCATACTTCAATGACATTTGAAAGTAATGTAGGAAATGAATGAATATTTAGAAAGACTTATTGAAGTAAAATACGAAGGTAACTAATGTTATAATAAGTATTGAACTTTTATAATTTAATGTTATGTTTCACGTTGCGTTTATGTTTATTGTCAAATTTATTGCCAGTGTATAGTGAATATTTCCTCAATGTTAACAATAATTGACGGTAACATTATTGGCAAACTATTTCGATAACGGCGCATTGAATTTGCAGAAATGTAGAAAATTACTGTATCGTAGGTACCATTATTTAAATGAGATTATCAAGTTCAATTATAGCGGAAGGATATTAATTTCAATTATAATCGACATAATATATAACAATATTTTTTGTATTTATAGGCAGAAATTTGTTTAATTAATATTTAGAATTGTGATATAATATATTTCGAATCATAAAAGTTTTAAATACATCATCAAAATGCCTAAATTTAAAGTGCCTTCACAACGATTGAAACGTAAAGTGCACGAGACTTTTCGTAAACTGAGAGCAATGCAATCGTCGCGTAAATAGTTTGTCAATGATTTTGCCAGACAATGTACACACTAAATCTACCTTTAGTGGCTTCCAACACGATTAGTCTAATTTACAAATTAATGTATGTATTCTTATGTTTTCCTTTGTATTGGTATTATACGTTTTATGACACATACGGATATTACTTTTTATTGCTTATGAATAAACAAAATAAATTTATGTCTTTTTTATTATGCCCATCATTATATACCTACTGATTATTGAGCTTAACCTTCGAGCTGTATGTGTATGTTATTTAGTTTAATCACGATAATCTATCTGGACTTGTTTATTGAGTTACTATTATTTAAGTTTCTAGATACTGCGTTTTTTTTTATCTATTTTAATGCTGTTGGCCGCAACAGGATTCTATACCTTTACTGGACGAAAATCGTCAGTGCAAATGTCACTTTAAACCCGTATAGGGCTTGAAACGGATGAACGCCGACTCATCCCTACAATACGACTTTAGTGTAAAGGTACTGCTAAAGGTTTAAACTTCGTTAAAATGGTTCAGAAGATCAATCGGAGGAGTACAAGATCGTGTCAAAGCTCTACAATATGCGTTGCCACTCCGGAGAACTACGATGTCATACCTCTAATTTCCTAAAACATAGAAATAAAACCCCACGCAGGCGACTTTCTACAAAGTCTACCTTTGTAAAACTAGTACCATATAAAGTTCCTGGTCCTGTATTGAAAATGTTGGATAATAACAATGTAATATTAATATTTTTGCCATAAGGCAATCTTGGCAATCTGCGCAATATAGTGTACCTAATATTTTTTAATAAATCTCTAATATTGTCTATATATATGAATAATAAATATAATAAATTCATTAGAGTTTCGCTATTTGTGAGAATTATGTTTATTATGTTCACATATACAGTAACATAGTTTGTATGTGTGCAATAATTTTATTCTGAACCAATTTTTACTATGCCATTTACTCACTTCCAATCTCATTCTTATTCCTTGCTATAATTTTCATCAGAAAGAAAGCAGCTCCTTTGGAAATTACACCTATGAGAGTGAAATTACACGGTGCCATATCGGATATGTCAATGTATAACGGAGATACTAGAGGCGTCACATGGATCGTGATGTCCGCGGTGCTCTTCATGATAGGCGATGGTTACCTCTTACCTCTAAATAGCCGTAAATTTGTTTGCCATTTCAGTTACGTGAAAAGGTTTCACATTATCAGCCTAAATGTTGGTTGAAATATAGTCATACTTTGCTAAGCGAATGAAGAAACTTCGTGTTGATAATCAAGGCATATCATATATATATTATCAGCATGATATAATTTATAATAAGCACGTGAAGCAAGTTAAACTTGCAATGACCAGGTTGGACACCAATGATCTCTTATACAAACCGATACAGGCAATTTCAGTAAAGGGCGACCTCCAATTAGATGTATGAATGATATCCAGTTACTGATATGCAGATGGATGAAAACCTTTCCATAAAGCATACATACATAGACATAAACTAAATATTTTTTATGTCTAAATAATAATAACGGTGTTCAGTAAAATGTGTTTATTAAATCGTACATTGACGTTCATAAATCAAACAAATCAGTGTTTTCGGATTCAAAACCTTAAAATTTGCTAATAAAACAGTTGATCTAGATTGATTGATATGAGTGAAACGTTCAAAATATAATTAATTATTTACAAGATTAATAATAGATAATTATAGCTAGATAGATATATAATAATCTTTTTTATACTTTTCTTCAGTACTTTGCTGTCTCAATAAATTCACTTAAGTATCTAAATTTTGTTGGCCTAATTTTTCAACAAAAATATACGTATTTTTATTATAACCGATCGAAATAAAAACTATAACCGATTAAAAATTGATACGACACTTGACAATATCTTTGACTCGGACTACTTCAAATTACAATAGACTATAATAATGAGAATATGTGTTTCACCCCACATTATTTTTAATTTAATATGTATGAAAATACTTTATTGCCATACAAATTTTCAGTGTACGGAAATACCACACCTTAACTCCTACTCAAATGTAGGCAGTCTATTTCTAACTATCATATAACTTCCACATGAAGCATTACCAGCATATTATCATCAAATTGATTTTTTTTACTGTAATGTCATTGCGATATTATATATAAACGTCTAGAGAAGACACCGTACTTGATACCCTATCTCAATTAATTACGGTGATATCACCACACTTTACTAAAGTCATTCATTGTACATCTGCCAGAACAATTCATTTGTGTAGCAAATACAGTATGGGCCATAGTAAGGAAGGGTAACGGTTGCCTAGTATACACGAACGAACCCACAAATAGCACAGAACTCTCGTGCCCATGATACCCATTAAGCATTATGAGCTCACTGGATTTAGGTATTATTCCTAGGTAATAAAAAACTTTCGCTGACAAAATGTCTTTCTTAAAACTGCAGTGCAGCTCTCTAAAATGACAAATGTATTTCAAAAAGTGTAAATAAGTGCAAAAAACATTCCTTTCGGTACGCGGAAAACGCATGATGTTTTTGCACTGTACCTTCTCTAGCACGTTAGTACTATAAATACTCAATGTACCTATACATAATATTCCTTAATTTTTACTTTCAATATTATCAGGAGTGGCTGTAACCATAGTCATAAGAACTTTCCATCATACCTTCAATAGTATCTATCTATTTTTTTCTTCATATGAAAATAAATGTTTATATTACTCATATATTAACTTCATCATTGAATTTAATTATAGCTGTTAAATTAAAATAGATAGATACTTGAAATATAACCTGTCTCTATATTTTGTTCATGTAGACGATATACATAATTACTCTAAAAATAACAACTACTGTATTTTGTATGGGAAATTAAATTCATACGTATCACAATAATAAAAGACTCTGACAAACTAACTGCAATGGTAGACACAGTTGTGGGATAATCGGGAAGCTCTATTCGTGGAACACCTAAATATATATTATACTTTAATTTACGGTCTTTACATACTTCTACAGTAAAATTATGTCCCTAATACTTAAAACAAATAACAATAGGACTATCTACGGAGATGTATAATATCGTATATACATATTATGTGGCACAGACTACTTTTATCTTATTATCATAATAACCAAGTATTTCTTAACTATAGAAAAGAAGATTTCATTAAGTATAAAATAACATATTTGATCTGCAAGTCAACAATAACTTAATCTGTATGCGGCAGACATGTTATCCGCTACAAATTTCATTAATTGATACGTAAATATATTTAGATATAAATAATAACTAACATTTAGGAAGAAAATGGAACTCCATTGACTAGAATCTTAAGAACTACAAACTACGTTGAACATAATTGGAAAAGACGAACGTCATGAACCTTGTACCACAAAAACCTTCAATCTACAATCAAAGTAATTCATTCCAAATTACTGTGTTAGTGCACATCATGATAAATTTAGGTGTAGGTATTAAATGTATATTATTTATAGGTACCTTTGTAATTGTATAATATTTAATTGTAATTATTATTAAATAACTTTTATTAAGTTTATTACATTATCTACTATTAATGAAACGGTTCAAAAGAAGTTTTATTACGCTATTATTTTATGGTGTTTCGTCAAATTATGCTAGAATAATATTCATCCATCCTAATTTCATATCATATTAAATACGTAAGGCACTCCATTAATTTTGCTGCTTTTTTGTCGAAGAGAGAAAATACTGACACACACAGAACTCTCTATAAAAGTGAAGACCATTGGAAGTTACTGGTAATTAACACGCACCGGACATTTATAAGACGTCATCATATAATTAGAAGCTCAAACAATTACTTAATTAGCCGACTGTAATAATTTTGACTAAAAACAAGTTCAAGCATTAATATATAATATATATGTATCTAATATTTAAATCAAGGCAGACGTTCAAATATTTTTGTTTTTCATAAATAAGTATATATATCGTTTTATACCTATTGAAAAATAAGTACAATAATATTGCTTTGCCGAAGAAATTTCGTTGTGAATGGATTAATAATGTTTTCGTATAAATTAAGAAAATACAATATGTATTTTATTATGGGTAACGACGTAAGTGTAACGATATAATTTAGAAACTTAATTTGTTTAGATTTGGTTTTGCTATATTGGTATAAACTCAAAAATTAACATTTCATTTTATTTGTTGTCCTACAAAATAATGTTTATCACAGACACAACTAATAGAAACGTATAGTTAATCCGTTTATTTTGAATATAATACTCTTGTAATATATTGTATGTATTTATACAAGTAACAACCAAGATAACATTATTATAACAAAGAACCAATTAAATACCAATTAATTTAAATTCCATATAGGTACAGTTTCTATGATTCAGACGATGTAATCTCTATGTGACAAATTAAAACCACAACAAACACTTTACATCGACGTTGTTGGACCCCTAATATTTAATTAAAAAGCCATTTATTCATAAGTAATCTCTTTAAAATTTTTATCAAATTTAACTACCTAAATATACCTACATACATGACTTGTTTCATTACTTTCTGAAAAATTTCGAATGTTAATATAAGTAATCCCGCGCGACGTCTGCCGTGCCCCTTCAAATATTTTCGTGATAAATCGCCTTACTGGACTTAGACTTATATTCAGAAATTATATTATTTTTCATTTATTATTTTAAACTTATTTTGTCCATGTCCATCAGGTACTTTTACAGGAATACCTATTCATTTTAAATTTAGTTTCGAACGCTATAAAATTTATTCACTTGTTTAGAAAATTATGAATAAATTCTTAACATTTTTAGCAGGATGTTAAATACCATTCTGTCTAAGGTATTATTGAAACATTAATTACTATGGCAAATAATATGTATATAGTAAAATATTTTCTATCTAACGTGAAATGCACAGGTCTAAGACATTGAAATGACAGTAGGTATCTATTAATTTAGTTTGTGATATAATAATTCCACAAAAGTTTCGTTGGGCTTATTACGCATCAATTGTACTCGCGACAAAATCTTGTATATATTTGTCTAAACGTTGGTCCCTATAATTGCTATTGTAATTTCTGATAGCCGTAGTGACGCGGAGCAGGATGGGGCATTGACGCCGCGCGTTCTGCGGCCGGGCTCTCCGAATAAAGGCACATTGAGTCATGATTCATATTGTTACTCTATGTAATACAGTACCTAACATTCGCATATCCCTTAACAACATTGTTTCTCTTCCTTTTAAGGTCGCTCTAAAACTAGTTAAAGGGATTAACTAGGTAATTAATATTCTACTTTATAATGTATATATGAATTTATAATGTCACACCACTACTCCCTTCGATTAATTATCGCACACTATAACGAATTCGTTATCACATACTAAAGTTCTATGACATCAAACTTCCATCGTGACTACGTCATTTTGGCAACATGGTGGTGGAACTAAAAATTGTCTAATTTGCTAAGTGGCGAAACCGCCAATAATTAGAGCTAAAGTGTGGACAACTAAAAGTTATCTTCACACTTGATTTCCCGCGACGTCGGTTGAGTCGACCACTGCGGCTCCGATGGAACATCCCAGTCGGCGAACGACTCGTAAGAAAAATTATCGCTCGTGACTTCCTCTAAAGCCACCTCTGTGCGACTGAATGCTTCAGCAAATTTTCCTATTTCAGTCGAGCCAAATGCTTGCTGAAAGGCGGGCAAGGGCACCACTGGCGGCCGTTTCTCTTCAGGAGGCGAACGCCGTGGTTCTGGATAGAAACGATCTCGTACCATCCTTGTGGATTCCGTAGGCATGGCTCTGGCTGCCGAAAACTCGGGCGTGTTTCCGTGTCTGTTGCCATTTTCTCCAGCATAAGAGTTCTCATCGTACGGCCTAAAGGGTGTTGATCTTCCATCTTGTATACATGCTGGATTTTGAGCATAAATATGTGGACCCTGAAATGAGAAATACACACGATAAGTGAAGTAGGTACATACCATAATCATCTATTAAAATCTGCTGCCTGTGACGAAATAATCGCTATAAAAAGAAGATAAATATAGTATAGGTAATATATATATACCTACTAGACTAGCGAAGAAAAAGAGACTTACGTTTCGAAACTTCCTTCTTTTATGTTTCGTCTTTTGAGGCTTCTTTTTTTTACCATTTGGTTTCATTTTTTAACTATCTCTTACGAAATGAAAAGCAGAGCTTGACAGATGTAGATATTCTTGCGTTGAGTATTAGCGAAAATTAATTTCAATAACATAAAATCACATGCCGCATTCCTATGTATCCATTGTATGTTATACAAATTAATGTCATGAGCACAAAAAATGAAAACTGTCATAGCGGTAATAATATATTATATATAGGTTACCTTCATAGAACGGCAATCAGAGGGATAACGCATATTTTCACGTGAGCACGTGTTGCGGGAAGTCCACGTGCCGTTAACTGCGTTGGCGCTGCTCCAACTTCCACCACCGTTCAGCACACCCATCTTGAAAAGTGAATTAATATTTCAATTATAGACTGTAATTGCATTAATAGCCTTCACAGGTAAAAGACGTTTTAACCACAGGTCATTCTTTTTAAAGAATGATTGTCGATTTCGTGTTCTTATAACATTTTTGTTTGTAAACTGATTAATATAAGGTAAATATTAGTATCTTAGTAATATATTAGTAAGGTTAATATATTAGTGAAAACCGCATAAAATTGACTAAGCCCTTTCAGAGATGAGCACGCACTAACGCACATGTATACAAATAGACAACATTTCTAACAATCTTTCTTTTGGGTTCTATCCGTGCAGTTAATAAAGCCATCCAATACGGTTTTTCCCATATATCTCCCACGTATATTATTTATTAAATATATTTAGAAGATCGGCTGCACTTGCACCGAATTTCCTTAACACAAAATAATTTTTTATGACATTTTTCTTGTTTCTCCTCCCACCATAACAAGTCTACTAACTTTACATTACCAAGCCATTTAGAACACGGATAATTTGATAGTATATATTTGTTATATTCGTACTGTACTATTTGGTGATGATGAGAAAAATAAAAAAGAATTATTAATTGTTTATAAATGTTCGTATCCTTGCCATATCTCTTTTATTATGTATTAATCGTCAGTCTTTGGAGGATTGAAAGATTACCTGATAGTGAGGCCACATCTGTGTCTCGCAATAACCAGAACCGCGTCCGTTTATTCCACATTCTAGAGGAGGCTGTAAATAGAAGAAAACAAGAAATAACATTTAAATTTTTGACAACTCATTTTATTAATAACTAATTAGAGTCATCAAATTAAAGAAAAAATATTTGCAGTGATGAAATCTGTTTAATTGAGTTATTGTCGCGGAGCCAAAAAAGGTACAGTAAACAACTAAATTGAACTAGAAGTAAACTAAGAACCATGTTGCTACACAACAATATACCTACTGAACAATATAAATTAAATAAATACTTTTTAAAAATACAATTTTTCAAAATAAACGCATAGAATATATCCAAATACATACGCCACTAAGTAAAGACTAAATATTTAAAAATTCCTTGTAAATATTTAGACTTGGTTGTATGTCATTGAATTGTGAAGTTCGATGGTGCGAAACGTATGTTCCGTCGGGTATCGATTCAGAGGCCGGCTGAAAGTGCCGCCAACGAGGCCGCCCGGCCGCCGCGCACAGCTCGTCCTCGACAACACTGCCTCCCACTGATATACTCGTACTCTACACGTACATATATAAACTTACACGTTTATACATTTCAGCAAAATACAATGCAGTTATTGTTTACTAATATGACATGTATAAGTTTACATGTCATATTAGTAAACAATACTGCACCTGTTGTTAGTTCATGACATTACTTTCACTTTCTATACTTTATATTAGATACTGAATACATACGAGTATACTGTACACATAATCGGTAGGGTACCTATAGCAGCCTCTAACAATATTTCAATGTATAAATAGTTTATTATGAATTATTGAATTATGTAACAAATTTATTAACATTTTTATTGCCGCCCCAGCTTCGCGCTAATATTTGGCATGTCAAATGTACTTCTTTACGCAAATTATTTATTTTATTTATATTTTTGATAAATTGTCGATTTTACCAACATAATCAATGATTTTTATGATCATCTTCTTCTTCCATATTCCACTCATTTGTGATACCTAATTTTGTTGTTGCCGTATCTAATAGTATACATAAACAATGTCTATTTTTAAAGAAAAGATATATGTACTAGTTCTATATCTATTTCTGAACAAATACTTTTCTGTTTACAACTGTTATCTTTAAACTTCTGACGCTCTAAGCATTGTTAACAACTGGAGTTCAACCAACATGAATAATAATAATTGCTTTGACTTACACGTACCTATTGGTAACACGAACAAAATAGTTCAACTTGTGAACTTAAGAGAGCTCTATAGTACATAATAGAATCTCATTATATTAATAGTATATTTATGAGAGTTTGTAAAGACGTTGTTACCCAATTTGTTTACTGTTCAACGAATTATTTAAATTTAGTTAAATAAATACTTTGGAATAATTTTGATTGTAATTCAAACAGGCGAAGTCGCGGATCGTACCTATTAAGTAATTTGATATTTGAATTATATATCGTGGAAAGTATATAATCTGTAGGTACATGAGATAATGTTTAGTGTGTCGGGCTCGGCTTGGGCGCGGGGTGGGTGGTTGGACGCGTGGCGGGGTGGACTGGCGCCGATCGATGTCCGTCACTGACTGTGCACCGCGTTGCAGCTACTGCATCCATCACAATTCATATCTCAGCAGACGTCGTTAACCCTCGATCTAACTGACAACGGATGAGACATTACATCGTACCGTCTGAATTCCTTTCTCTGCGATCAATATGCTAACGCCTTATCTTCTGTACATGAAGGATTATATTCTTTCCTTTTGTTAGTAACGATAATATGTAAATGCAAATACACAGAACATTATTAAGGTGTATTATTTGCGGTTTTTTAACTGTTTATCAGTTATAAAACCGTAAAGTTATTTGTTAATTATACAATAAGTAACAAATTCTAGTTGTGATATTCTATAGTATAATAACCACTCTAATAAGATTAATATTTCAATAATTCTGGATATAGCTTATAATTGTATACACAATTAAACAAGTTTTGTACGCGTAGACCCACTGAACCTGCTACAAAATTCGTAGCGCAGTCTACGCTAGGGCGCGCTAGCGCATTATCTCTGTTTATTATTTAATTAAAAGATTTATAATTGAAACATTATTTTATTTTATCGATATTGTTATTGAAATCAAAAACGTATACAGAAGACTTTTACTTTATGCTGATACAGAGATATTCTTGAATCATAAATGTCATATAATCATAATATTTGTTGATATTTTAAAACATAGGTGGTGTGTTTATACAAAGCACAACCTTATATGATGGCAGACTAGTGGCGGGAGATTTGCGGAGGCCAACTATTGAGCGGCGAGCGGTGAGCGCGCGCGACCCACGTGACTTATCGATCAGCGAGGCGCCCACGACACTCGGAAAAATCAACCGCTGACAGCTTTCACAGACCACCTCACCCCTCCCCCCTCCTGCCTGCTTTGCTTCGCGCCTTACTCCTCACAGCCATGCCACTACCCCCGCCCTCATTAGCGCCTTTGTACCGCTCACTTGTCTTGTAATATGATGCCGTAATGATACCACTTTTTACAAGATTATTCAATGATTTTTATTCCGGTAGATAATATTACAACTGTAACTAATTACAGTTGTAATATTTTCTATTGTACCTATATAAATTTAACATTATAAACATACAGCTATAGTATGTTTATAATGTTTGTAATATATTCAAAACCTTGTCGGTTTCTCTAGTTTCGCGTTGTTTAGCGACATTAGGTATATGTGGTGGTTCTATGTGAAAGATAGTTATAATTTGAATGGCATCCCGTTAAATGCAGCGTACATATCGATTCCGATTTTGGAACATAAATACGTAACATGAATGTATAAAATAGTTGAATGAGTAATCAGTAACATTATATATAACCATACATTCTGTTTTTATCAAAAAGTAAGTCACTGAACGATTATCTCATTTATATCGATTTATTATCCAAACTTCGGAATGAGAATCACATTAACATATTAATAAATCACAGAAACTGTTACCCGTCGGGATGTTGCGACTCATACTAAATTAAACTTTATGTTTACTGCCTAGGATTGATAGTAGTTTTTATTATAAAGGAAACGGACTGTGGGGATGTCGGCTGTCCTTTGACACTGACCTACATAACTTTGACTAGCCTTTTTGCTTTGCGGTCACATTTTCATATTGTCACAAAATTATTGCTTTGTTCACATATGTATTGCAAGTTGTAGTTGTATATATTATATTATTTTATATAAACATATATACAGATATATATCTTGGGTATTTTCTAAATATCGCCCTATTTCAAAACATACTTCAATCAATATATACTTTTACTAATTGACAGCTTTTATATAAATTCAATGTTAATCTTAAAAAACTTATAAAGAATCCACATGTTTTAAATATAATAGTAGACTGTTTTACAAGTCGAGTAAAACTAGACTGAATAGCGTAACTTTCACTTTCGTATAAGAAGTTATGATAGAATAATATAGATATCAACAAGTTCTGAATGTAGCAGTCGATCAATACCTATGCATTCATCAAGTGTATTATTTCGCAAATTAATATTCTCATCTCCTTTATTATATTAAAAACATAATTTTATGAATTAGAAAATACTATGAAAGTGAGTTTGTTTGTTTGTTGGAGCTTTAACAGTTCAACTAACCGTTATGAAATTTGGCACACGCACGCAATATTTGGTATGAAGGACATAGGTAGGCCACTTATATCCCGGTCAATCAATATAAAACAATCATAAGGACAAAGTCGAAGGCGGAAGAATGTAAAATGCCTGTCATAGTGACGGGGGAGCCATATGCTCATATTACTAAAATTATATTATCATTAGGCTTATTACTGGCCTATTTTTAGAATAAAAAATATTTTTATGTTAGCGACATGTTCTCATCTCATCTCATCTCATCTCATAAAGTGACAATTAAAAAATTACCCGGAAAAGACGATCAACGACGACGACTCATACTAGTCAACCAAAATTTATAAATGTATGCGCACCGGCTTATGTAGTTAGGAATAAAAACACAATATGAACTAAATATTTTTGTACTGACCGTGGACGGGTGCGGAAGTTGTAGCGCGGGAGTGAGTGCCCGCTGCTCCCTGCGAGCCAAAGCGCGGCGCACGCGCGCCTCCTTTGCCGCATAGGCACCATAATCTACAAAAAAATATACAATACATTACTATTTTACTTATTTATTTATTTGTTATTGCACAAGAAGTAAATTATAAATTATATACCTAAATAGAATAGTACAAAAGACGGTATTATTGTATAAGCAATAATTACATCAAGTTGTAACAATAGAAAGCGAATCTTTGTAGTAGCTAGAGTAAAAAACATTTTAGTGTTCAAAATTACGAGTGACTTTATTTTAATAGAGATTATTATTTAATTTATATTATTTTTAGTTAAGATTTATCAGCATATAAGCAGCCTTAAAAATGTGTTTATTTTATATTATCATTCAGTTTTCGTACTGATTATAATACTTAATACTGGTCATGATACTAACATAAGAACATTGTCAAAAATATTATTTTTTGTAAGTAGTATTCACTTGATAATTATTATTTATTACTCTATTTAAAAATCTATTAAATATTAATTATATACTCTTTATTTCTCATGAATTTTTTAAACCAAAATATATTCCTTTTAATCATATTTTAAAAGCAGCTATGTACAAAAGAGAGTAGTTTTACACTAAAAGCTTTTTGTCTAGGATTATGTGTTCACTAAAATAGTCAAACTCATAATTTATGGACCGTAAACAATAATTGTCTAGGTAAACCATTAAATACCGCGCTATTTACAACTTTGCATCGTCAGTAGCGTGCTGTATACTCTAACAGACGTTTAATTTTAGAATTGACACTAGTTTAACGTAAACAGAGAAATCACATGGTAACTCTATATTGGTAGAGTACAGGGAAAGTGATTTCTTCTCTGTCGATCTACAGCAAAACGAAAGAGAGGCTCGCAACGGTGAACGACTTTTCTTTCTACGACTATTTCCACACTTGTGATAGTAATATATAAATAATATTTTTGATACATTAATAATTAGAATTATTACAAATTAGAATATACGTAACCAGTATAGGAATTAAAATCAATAATCTAATTACATTACCAGCTAGACTTATATGTTTAACTTCAATTAAACATAGCATAGTGACTTTTCAAGTAAATAAAGCTTCATTTAGTATTTAAAAAATTATCAAATATATATTTTAGAATTGATGATATATAAAGTAAATCTAAGACACTATCTAAAACAAGACAGGCAGAGTTTTACAGAGTGCAAAACATATTAACCATTGCAATAACGTCTAGTGAACTGCACTTAGTGACAAATTTTATGATCAAAATGTTTTCACTCACGCTGAGAAAATCAATGACACTAGCATTCACAAGGACGTCGCACTTCTATCGTGTCGCCACGCCAGTAACCCTAAGGACTGACATTTATGGGCTTGAAATTATGCAAAAGCGGATTTAATGTTGATTTTATGTTATGGAAATTATGTAAAAAGTGCCTAATAAAATAAGCTAGTACCTAGCCTTAAATACGTGCTCAATGTTGAATTGCTGAAATTCAAATTCTAACTCGACGTCACGCAATTTTATACTATAAAACTGTAAATAAATTCAGAGGAAAATTTAAGAAATATCTAAGTAAACAAGTAGTCAACAACTCTACAACTTATAGCTATTCTACGTTAGATGCCGTTTTAATCTGAGACAAATTATAATACAAATTATATCTCGAGTCTCGACGAATTAAACAGCGCAAAAAAATCATTTACATATTCATTAATCGTCTATTTAATCATAATAGCTTCTATAAAAAAATATAGGCGTTTCAATATACAATAAACAACGTAAATATACATATTGTTTTAGTTATTTCTCATTTGAATAAAAATGTGTATTAAAGTATGGGTGTTCATTCAGTACGATTATGACACATGACGCCACAACATTGCATTATTTACGAAGATGTAGCATTTATATGGATAAAGTTCGGTGTGAATCGAGACGCGGGCGTTAGTAGTCCGGTCAATATGTAGAGTGGCTGTGCGGGCGATCAATCGCGCTGCGACCGACGCGGGGGAGGCTCGACCACCTGTAGCGCGAGTCGTCCCCTCCGCGCGCCTCGCGGCTCACCCCCGCGCCCTCCAACATCGACACGTGACGTAGACGATAAGAAATCCGCCCAAACGTAAACATTAATTCTTACTTCATTCCTCATTGTTCAGAATGTCGCTTCGCGCCACGCGCGCATTCCGATCTCTCTTATATTGGTAAACAAATTACAGAGCGACGCGTCATCAGCAACTTTGTTGTTGTGAATATTACCTACAGTGTATATATATATATATACCTGCCTCTAACTAGTACGTTACTGACTTCTAACTTAATTATGTATATGGAATCAGAACTATATATATTAAATCTATAGATTCGTTGTTTAAGAACAAGTAATTATATTCATCAAATAGATAAATCTATATGCAAAAATTATTTTATTTTATTCGTAAAATAGCTCTATTAAAAATATTATGAATCTAAAGTGTGTCTATTTGATTCTTATCTAAGTTATTCCGCTAATTACATATAATTTAATATTTATGTATTTATGAATGAGAAATAGAGTAAGAAAGAGTAATTTTTATCTTTATTAATTGATAATAACTAATTTGTCCAAAAAAAAAAGGAAATCACAGGTATTAACTAGTACCATTATATAAAATTACTAAATACACCTGTTCAAGAATATTTCGGGCTTTGATGTATGTAAAGAAATAGATATTAAATAAGTACCCTTGTTATTATGAGGTCAGACAATGTGCTAGCAGATATTGATTTTCTAATTTTTGCTCTTTAAATCCATTACATTAAAAAATCTATTGTACGTATACTTTTTTAATACAAAAATATTGACGTATTCAGCTATTTATACCGATAACACATTTTTTTAATAACATCCGTATTAGACTCATACTTAGTAATTAAGGTAATTTTAAAAAATAGTGTTTTTATTTTGCGCAGAAAAAACATTATCTATTGTATACCTAATTTCCGAATATACTTGATATGATGTTACTTTTATAGAAAAAAACAAGATAATAAATGATTTCCAAAAAGTCGTTTAATTAATATTTTTTAGAAAAATGTAATTTAAATCTAGATCTTTCGTGTTCATGTGTTTTGTGCTCAATCATACATATGCACTTGCATTTACATGCAAGTGCACCTACCTACTTCCTACGACAAACTTTTGACTAAAAACATTGTTACGTTTATGGTACCAATTTTATCATAACAAAAAACAACCAGGTGGGTAGTAATTGCTCTACAATTAATTGTCTCTAAAGTACTAAGCCATTAAAGTTCAGGCATTATCAAGCCAGCTTAACTTGTACTGTTTAGTGCGACATAACAATATGAACTCCTCAATACCAACCCATGGGCATAACATGTTCAGCGTGGTGCAGATGGTGAGAAGGGTAGTCGTAGCGGTAGTAACGGGCGTAGGCATCGTGCGCGGGCGGCGCGTAGTATCCGTGAGCATACGGCGCATACGGCAGCGGTGCATACGGCCCGTAGCTATCCCAACCTGCGCTCGCGCCGCCGTACTGCCCGTGGCCGCGGTATTCGCCGTAGTTGCAGCAATCCATTGCTCCACGTGCCCTACGCTCCTGGCAGCGCCCTCGCTCGCCGCGCTACTTTCCATCCTCGCCCTAACCCGCTTCGCCACATCACACTACCCTAGTACTACACCTACCCAATTTTATTTTTCATACAGCTCCTAAATGCATCACGACTATCCCACTCTATTAGTAAACATTCTTCGACTAGCTCTATATTACATCAAACCGACATATATTTACTTTAAAACTATTGAAAACAGTTATTCAAGTGCATTTATCAATATCAAAAAATATACTTAGCAATGTATTGACGTATTTTCAAGTATACGTCGGTATGACGCTTTGCCGCGTAGAGATCGAGCGCAGTTAGTTACGCGGCGGGAATCGGACGCGGGTGCGACGTTAGGTAGCGAAAGGAGGTCGTTCGAGTTTGCCGGCGACGGCAAGATATTCGATGGACGAGGGCGGAGAAGTGGCGCGGGCCGCGAGGGAGGGGCGACGCCCGCTCGCCGGCGGGTCGACGCGGCTCGGCGCAGCGCGGCGCTCGACAGACGCCGACTGAAGGCGCCGCGGAATCGATACGCCGCCACCGCCCGCCGCACCGCCATGCCGCGCCGCCCGCAACCACTACCTGCCTGCGCCCGTATTGCGCGGGAACTTTGTCTTCCCCGATGGAATTTTATATTTAGAACCATGGTGAAACGATTGATCGATACTTTGCACTATTAATTAGCACACACTTTCACTAGAAAAAGTCAATTAATTAAACCCACGTATGCTATCTCTATTAATCAACGGAATACCCAATACTGTTCTGATACAAAATAAATATGAAAGAATACAAAACTATATTTTTGAATAACCGCTAACTTGCAAAATAAGTGAAGAAGTATTTCTGGGATTTCGAATTTAATACATTATTTATTTATATTTTATTGGAGTTTGTAAGGAATAATAAGTTGCGCTTATTATCTAGATACTTGCAAAGTTTTATCGAATTGCGCGTAGGCGGCAGTGACCCATATCACCGGCAGTGATGCGGCGTGCGGCGCACCACCCGCGCCCTTCATCCTTCGCTCGATTACACCGTTGACAACTTTTTGTCAAGTAAAATAATATAAAACTTATAGAAATAATATCAAAAATGTTTTGAAGAAATTCTAAACCTATTTGATACTAGTCGAAATGTCAAATCTGGCTTTGAAATGCAGTGTATTAGAAAATATAAACTGATGATTTCCACTACTCTTCAGATTACTAATGTTTGCGCCCTCCGCGTTGTTAATATCTATATTGTAACATAAAATACTTAAAATAATTTCCAAGATAGAACACAACACTGTTAATTCTATCTCCGCTGATAGGAGAGTCAAATAAAACCACATGTTTTTTTTATTTTAGTATATAAACTTATTATGACGCAACAGCATGAATATTTAAATATTCTTCACATAATTCATGTAATTATTTTTTTGATGTTGGTTATTTTTCGTAAGGTAATTTTAATACGATTTGCCTACATTTTGTTTGTGTTTTGGAAATAAGCCTTGCCGTCTGAACTTTAAAGAACTGAATTGTTATAAAGCAAGATCCAAAATTTTATTAGCGAGTTTGAGAACGCTACATAATTATCCAAATATTTTGAGCGCCATCTAGCAACGAGTAACTGAACATATAACATCAAAAGATTGTAAGTCAATCATCAAGAGTTGTAGTTACCCTATAAAGATAACACCTATAAATCTTTACCACTAAGTACTATAACATTAGTAAATTATTGCAATGTTATTTAGTTTTATTACTTAGGTACTGAGTAAAATTTTACTATATGTAATCTCAATTTATTATATTTTTCCTAAGGTCTTTCTCTTTTTTTCATTCCCTCGATAATTTTGCATTTTTGTACAGCAACGAAATTTAAAATATAAATGCGATATCACACTACCTATATAATTGAGATGAACTGATGATGAAGTGTCGTGGAACTTTGAAACAATTAATAATAAAATTATCAAAAAAAGAAATTAAAATTTAATTGTTCCTTCGTTTCAATTTTTTAATAATAATTGCATTATTTATTTCCAACACCATTAAGTATCAATTCTATCTTTCGTGTCTGTACACGAGTTGGCGCATGCGCAATGAAAAATTTCGGCATACAGATCTGAAAAATCGTCCAATAGAAGTAAGAAATATCACTGCGTCCTCTGGCGATTCTTGAGCGGGTCGGATTTTTTTTTATATAATCAAAATGAAAAACAAGCTTATAGCAACCGGTAACTGTGTCCAATATACATGAACAGAACTTATTTTTGCATTAATTCAGTGAAGGAATCAGGTCTCTTATTCTTTCGAAAGTGTCGGACGCTTGCTGGTAATGAAAGAATACTGAAATGGTATTTTGAAGACGAAACAATAAACTAAACTGTTACATTTCTATGTTTATTTGTGTAAAATAGGTACATCATTTACGTACTTAAAATACATTTTGAAAGAATCGATTTGCAAGAGAAATAAGTATTATTTATTCATTATTTTTTATTATATTTACTGCTAGTTTCAAATTAAACATTGCGTAAATTGTATATCCATGGTACAACATAGGCAATACTTATAGCATATTCCACGGTGTAGACAGTCAGCTTATTTTCCACAGTACAGTTAAAGAATTCGACGAGTACTGAAACAATTGTTCATAATATATTTACTTCTATGATAATATATTCATATAAAATACAGTAGATATGCGTGGTTATGCCAAATTCTTTTTGAGGTAGTTGGAATTGTGTAAAACTTTTTTTTACTCATTGTTCATGCTAACAGAACAAAAGAGGAAAATATTAAAAGTATTATTTTTTTTTATAGAAGTCTACTTATTTTGATTTCTTTTTGTAGGTTTACAATCATACGTATTATGTATGGATTATATAATAATATTTGGCTGTTTATAATATCGGATGCAAAGGACGTAAATTGCCATATTGAAACAAATGATCTATTTGAAAATTACCGCATTGAATTCTAATTTCATTAATTGAATAATCCATATGTCCTGTAGTCTACGTTTTAACTTAATTTATATTATTATTGTTATGTAAATGTATATGTATATGTAATATATATTATTTTTATAATAGATAAAGGAAATCCATGATATATTTTATAAAGTTAGATCATTATAAAAAACTTCGGGGATTTTCTCTCTTTATTCAGGGTTTTCTCTCTTTATTCTCTTTATTCCCATTATTCTTATATTAATTCTAATAATACACTTAGATTCATAGCATGCAGCTACGTGTAACCAGAACCTCTTCGTAAAATACTGTACAAAAGTCTGTTGTGGTGGTGGTACTTCTACCTGTATATTTCTATAAAATTAATTAAATAATTAAGTACTAACGACATACATGCTTTTTGGCATGATGAATATCCATATTTTCTTAAATATGTAAGTAATTACTGATACGAATAGTTGTTTTGTTACAGAAATATTCATAATTCTGTAGCTACTTGTGGTAGGAGTAATATAGTAGATATAATATTAATATAATACAACTCCTACTATTGAAAAATAGGAGATATATATACTGAGCCGGATTTCACCGAGTATTTACTATAAGCACAGATAACATAATATTACATAAGAACTATAGATATCGCATCACGAAAATCGGATGTCGAGATATCTTTGATATACTTACTTGCACAGTGGAGAGATCATCAATTATAAAAGTCGTGGAGTGCTTGTTTCAAAATTAATTTAAAACTTCATACTAGTTCATACACAGTAATACACAAATATACATTTATGTGGAAATTTTAAAAAATTACGTTATACCACAATTATCTGTTACTTTGTTCTATAATTTATTTATTGAATAAATATCTATGTAGCACTTGCGCTAAATATTAAAATTACTTTATTAAAGTATACAATGTTGACATTGTAATGTATTTAATATTTTTTTTTTGTATCCTGGCATTATATTTTCATTTTGTATTTACATTGTATTATGTTATCTACATATCAACACGTACATATTTGTGTACTAATCAGAATAATACCTATTTTGTGCACCTTATACTGAAACTAGACAAAACGTAAGTTAATAAATTGTTGCTACAATGATATCATCCGACTAGTGGATTGATTATTGTATCTTAAAACTAGCTATGCACACGGTATCACTTGCGTGAAAATACTCAAGATATTGTAAAGTTTCATTAAATTCCAAATGTTTGAAAAAGTAACAAACATGCATCCGTGCATCTACATCTATAGCTCACAAATTTCCGCGTTTATAATGTTAGTAAATTTTTACATCTCGACGCATATAAAAAGTTGGAATACAATTTTTTTTACCGACACATAGCGGTCCTTATGCACACGTTGACTTCCAATACAGTTCATAGATGGTAATTATAATAAAATAAACAAATGTTGATTTTTAAGAAGTTACAGTAGTTATGAATAATGTTAAAATTATAGTTACAAAATATTTTGCATGTAATTCTAAACTGTTTACTTTTAAAGATATGTCAGTTATTGTCCATTGAATACAATAATAAGGAAATAGATCCAATTAGCTATGTATATCAAATTCCATCGTTGACGTTACCGGTCCAGACAATCGGTGCACAATAGATAAGATAGCACCCTGTCATAATGGCAATATAACGTTTATGGATGTATGACAGTAAGTGTGTTCTAATGTTGTGTAGTAGAGAAGCCAGGCGCGGGTTATCATGCAGATTGCGGGCGAATCAATAGGGGCGCCTCGGCCACTGACGGCGGATGACGATCAATAGCGTCCCAGCGGAGCTGTCTCCGCATTAAGGGGCTTCCTCAAACGCCCTTACACCTACCCACAACCTATCTATGCTTCGTAGGTATGTCACTCCACATTCATTACAATGTACGGCTACTCAAGCACAAAAAACTGTCTGGAAAATAATATTATTTTAGTGTAGATTTCTTTACGATAAACTAAAGTTGATAATGAATTAGTAAGTTTGAATATGTATTTAACTAAAATAAATTATCTACTTTATATAAGTTTGTGAACAATACTACAATATATAATTTGTCTATCTACTCTTCATACCAATTCCGATCGATATTGGAATGCGCCATTTCTCATCCTATCACACATACTCCAGAATTGTATAGTAGTAACCTATTAGTTCTAAATTTCGTGATGGTGTCGTTAAAGTCGTAACTCGAATAGATATCATATAAAGACAAATATCGCGATGATTCGCGACAGATGGTTTAGTGAGTTATCCAATATTGTAGGTACATAGTTGACTTATTTGGTAGATTTTTTTAGTGACCCTACCCGACTTTGTTTAATTGCATATAACACGTGACGTATTCTACAACTAGATGTCTAGCCATTATGGCTTCTAAAGTCATTCTATCTTAGAGAATAATGTACCTTAAATATTTTTTCAAACAAAAACTACTTTCGCTCTCTTTATTTATACCTA